TGGAAAAAAAATCGCAATCGAGTCACGAGAATTTGGCAAATCTATTGCAGCAACTTTTCTTACGATATTTATTTTTTCTTCAACAGATATAATAGGCGAAGACAAAAAACTTGATATTAATAAGTTGGCCGATGACATGTTAAACAATCTTCGAGAAATTGAAATTGATAAGATTGAATGTTTGTATGCAGAAATGATAACTCTTTTCCGTACAAGTTCCGTTCCAAATGACCAGCAACCAAACATTGGAGATGACGGGGAAGTTCAAATAGATGCAGAGGTGAATTTTATCATTGACATTCTTTCACAACTTTATCTTTATATATTCTAAACATAGCAATATTTGAAAATATTTTTTTAAAGAATAAACACACAACACTTTTGATGTAGTTTAAATATTCATATAAAATTGGTTTATTTTATTATTCTTCATTAACTTTTATATAACTTTTAAGTTAAAATTATTCCTAAGACCCTAAAGTTATTTTTATATATTTCAGCTTCGTGCAAAGCTAATCAGTATATCACCCGCAATAAAAGGTATGGGTTATCGTTTCGGTAGATTCGTTATCTTTGTTGAGGCTATAAAAAGTGATTCGAACAGAGGATGTATAGAATCCGTATTGGCTGACCATGGAGTTGAAGATTACACACTTGAAGAAGTTTCGACAGAATTGAAGCCATATAGATGTGATGTAAAAGTTGGCGCAAAAATTGAGACAGGCGGACCTAATGATTCTGTTTGCGGCACACTTGGATGTTTTGCTTCCATGCTTGAAAACAATCGCGAGCATCTATGTGCGTTAACTTCAAAGCACATAGCTTCACGTGGCAAACACTTTCTTTGGCGAGAATATGGTCTAAACGTTGGCAGACCTCTTGGTAATGTAGTTGATAGAACGGTAACAGAAACGGGATTAGATATAGCAGCTCTAAAACTAAATGGAGAAATAAGGTTTTGCGCGAAATTTAGAACAGAGCTTGATTCAGATCTATTACAATGTAAAGTATACAACTATTTAGATGACAACAACAGTGGAATACTCAGCTGTGGACAGCTTGTCTATATTTGGGGTGCCACATCGAAGCCAGGAAAAGGTGTTATTACAGTTCCTAGATTCCAGACCGATGGCATGGAAGAGGGATTGATTTTGATCGAAGATCGTTATGTTTCACAAGGAGAGACACAGGAACGTTTCTGTCTACCAGGTGACAGTGGGGCAGTAGTTTGTGTGGAAGACAGACGCGGTAAATGTGTTCATGTCTTGGCAATGGTAATGGGAATTTTGAATAGTCATGTTGTAGAACAGAATCCGGCTATGAGGGGAAAATATCTAAGTGTACCGTTGTCAACAGGACTACAAGAATTAAGGAAAAGAACTGGACATACATTTCATCTATGTGAATGTATCTAGGTCTCCAGCTGGATAGATATTTAACAGCAAAGAATGAATGTTGATGTTAGGACATACTGCAATCATGTTTTTATTGGTCAAAACAATATTTATTATTATATAGTTTTTACATTTTATCAGTTACTGATTGTATATATGTTGCATACACATATACTGAACTATATTTCATATTGATATTCCTATGACAAGAAGAGAATAGGTCTTATGTATCTTAACAACTTATGTCAAGGAGTTTTTATTTCCTCTTTTGCTACTTTATATTGTGCATGTTTTGTTTTTGTTTTTCTAAAAGAATATGGAGTCAAATTTGTTATTATCTTTTTGTTTTCCAATGTTTAAACCGGATACGATAATATAAATAATTTCACTGTTACACGTTTTCTAAACGGTTTCTGAAGTGACAATGGAAGAGGAAGATAATTATATATTAAAGTTTCATTTAAAAATAAAAAAATATTGTTTTGTAGCTGTCTGAGATTCTTTTAACAAAAATACCTTTGTATGTCTGTAAAAGAAAAGTTATCTTTAAATTCATTTGATTATAGAGAACAAATATTTATAGATAATAACGGTTTATAAATTAAAATAAAACTCTACAGGCACTTACGTTAAAATAAATACGCCCTTAACAAAATGGCCTGAAAGATCGGGTCTACAAGAGAGTACCGCCGCCAGGAAACCTTGAGAACTTGCGTGCGCCAAGAATATTTCACACAAAATAATATTCTTTAAAGAACAGATGTGTAGCATGCGTGTTTCTGGTTGGATATATCAGCTACTATCACTCTACTCAAACAAGATCTTTTTTGTTGATCTAAGAAAAGGATAAAAGCAAAATAAATGCATGTTTTGGTCCGATTCCTGTAATATTTCCCATATGCCGTAGTTGAAAAATGAATTTAATAAACATATCAAAACAGAGAAATTATTCGGAATAAAAATGTATGAACCTTTTTCTGAATGCTTTATTTGCCTGTAAATCGATATTAAATCCATGTTAACAAATGATTAATACAAACCTTCTTATGAAAAGATTTGACGTACATTATGGCGGAAAAAGATACTGTTTTACACGCTAATCATGATTAATGACTTGTACTGAATCATCTTGTAATAATATTCACTTTTACTATTATCCGTAACATTCCAATCAAATGAGTATTGTTGAGAGTAAACAGGCGACTTTTAATTACATCTAATTCATACTTGAAAAAAAGATCATGAACAATATTTTGCGTGTGAATGTGATAAAGTTTAGAAAGGACATCTGTCAGCAAGAAGATAACAGCTCAATAGATGCATGCTCATAATCACAAACATAAGTTTTAAGCTAATGTTGTGTCCCCTGCTTCTTTCTTGCATTCGAGATTGCATCTGAGATTTCGTTTTTTTATTTTCAAATCGCTTTTGAGGATTTTTGACATGTTGATAGTTATAATTAAAAGCTGACTTTTGGAGAATCGAGTAAAAATGTGTAACAGTTCAATTTCAAATAAAGACTTACAATTTAGAAAATTTAAAGTTTGACTCAACATTAGCTGTTAATCTTAGACCAAAAAGGCCTGAACTTGTCCCTCGCTAGTGATTTTGTCACTCACTGTGAAATATTGGTTTTTAAAATTGACTGGGCTATTAATAAAATGATATGAATGATGTAAACATTAAAACATTTAAAAATGAACAAAGTTTGCATGTGAATAATTTCTTAAAATACCATGTAGGAGAGGTTGTTACATACAAATGATATTTCTTTATTACTAGTATATGACATATAAAAACAAACAACAAACGCCCATATTTCTGATGGCTAATTAACATGGCAATATGCACAAGGGATTTATAGGACAATATTTCTGTGATATTTGGTTGACTTCCACAATAAAAATAGTATTTATCTGTATATATTTCATATGTGAATCAAAAGCACGAAGGAAACCCATAGTTACCCGAATGCAAATTTGTTTGAGTAAAACAAAGTATTTTAAGTTGTCAAGCGCCTTATTCTCCAAATATTGTTATCAAAAAATACTTGACTTAAAACTGTTCAAGAAAGAAAAAACTAAACAAGACTGCATTTGATTAAACATGCGCAGCAATAACACTTATAGTAGTAACAAAAGTAATTGAATATATGCACAGTAGTTTATTATTTGTTCGTATACAACTGAACTTAAAGACAAATTCAGCAATGTCTGATTTGAGCATGTCAAATAAATGACAATGTACAGATGTTGCTAAGTTCGGAATACGAAGGCGATAATTTACAAATAATGAAGCTTTTTCAAAATATGACCTTTGACATTAATCAACAAAGCAAGATTGACTTCATTGTCACGTTTAAACATGTTACATGAAATATGAATAATGGTTGTCTTGACAATGTGACTTTTCAATGAATGATTGTTTTCAAACAAATTCGAAAGCCCCCTTTGTAACATACTAGTACTTTAACTTTTAATTTGAAATAAAATAAATATTTTTGCAGAACTTTTAAACTGAGTATCTCAATAGAAGTAATTGCAATAGCAAACTGAATAGGTCTGTTGTATTTTCACAAATGTGTATAAAAGTAAAGGAGGTTATGTTACAAAATACAGGCTAAAAACCAGATTAAAAATTCAAATACTAGAAAATAGGCCAAAAAATCAAAATCAACGTCATATCAACTGATATTAAAGTCAAATTCTGAATCCAATTTTCAAATTTTAAGTACCACACTAGATCAAAATCTAAGTAAACTGAGATCTATTGAGCTGAAATTGAATGCAAATTTTGACGTGGTCCTTAGGCCTTGACCCTCGACCAAGTTACCAATAAATCAAAGAAATGTCAACTACAAATCATGACCAGAGGCCCAACTTAATCTTGAGAAGATAGGCAAACAATGTTTAAAGTTATTTGTCGTAGACGCTTGCAGTGGTCAAGGCCACCATGACTTGACCTTGAACAGTCTGACCGCAGAAATTGATAAAAATAATAGGGGTCATCTACTGGTCAGGATTAATGTCCATATTAAATCTTTATACTGCAGGTCAAATAGTTTTCTACTTATAAGTAGGACAAGCCAAAGAGGTCAATGACACTGTAGCCTTTAACTAACTTACCACAGTCTAAATAGGAATATGAATCATTTATATAGAAAAACCAATATCTTATACAGCCATTTTCGTTTTAAGGAATATTTTGAAGGTTCTACTATATACATAAAACATGGCAACCAGGGCAAGGCTAATTTCGTCCCGGGGGTCAAAATCCGAACAACCTTTGTGAAGGTCTGCTAGATGATGTTTCTAGTCTGTTACCTGTTTATGCAACAAATCGGAATTATTTAAACAATTTTAGTAGGTGACCTCTAACAAATACAAATTTTGGGCATTTAGATCATGCGGCGACACCTCTAAAGTAAGAATTTTAAGACCGAATTGAAATTGAAATTTTAGAACGGGGTTGCAATCTTAAAACAGTCACAGAAACATGACAATCTACTTATTTTTATGAATTGCAAATATTTTATTTGGGTATCGTTGACTTTTTGTTGTATCAATTAGTTTCGTTGACTTAACATTTCTAATATTTGTCATTAATTCTTTCATTGTATTTACTATTCGTTTCTTGTTTAGTCTTATTTCTTGTCATAATTTGAAGTAGTTTTGTATATCAAAAAAAAATTGTACAGCATACTTCATTTTGCTACTCTAATCACGTTTCCAAATACAGTTAAGTGCACTAATACAATTTGACTTGAAATTTTCTTATTTGAATTATGTCGATTTTACTTTATTGATATCTCATGAAGCAATGACACCAGCAATATTATATAGCATATACGAGGCGTTATCCAGAGGTTCGTGGACAAATCTAATAATTTTCTCAATAATTGTGGTAAACTATAAAAAACTTTACATCTTAAACATTAATGTATTCGTACTGCAGAGTTTTGATTGTGAGCGTCAACAGGAAGTTATGTACAAATGATTGCGGAAGAAAAGTTGAAACGAAAGATAGTTAGGACTTGTGCATACGCCAGATCAAAGTTTGTAAGTGTTTTATACATCAGAGATATCGAAAAAGAAATCAGTAGTGCGGTGGTTATCGTACAAATGACACACACAAAAATACAGAGGATGATAAACGATACAGGATCATGACATATCCGGCCTCCGAATGATATACATGTAATTAAAGGAAAGTGATTAAATACTGGTATATAGATATTGCACTTTCCCTAAATTGAAAGGCTAATTTGATGGGAAAACATTCATGACTTAAATGAACTAAGATAAGAATTTAAAAACAAAAATCTTCTATCCTACCCAAACATCATTTTAAATTTTTACATAATGCTATATTTTTGGCTACATAAAATTGAAATCTACTTCAGTTTGAAGCATGTATGTAAACGAGATTATAATGAAAATTCATTCTGATATGTATATTTGTCCAGTTACATCACATGCATAATTTAATTGGCTAGGCGTGTTAAATCTTGAAAAACTAGTTTCAATGTTGACTCACGTCAAACTTGCCATCGACTATAACTTCCTTGCATAATGATTTGAATACATTTTAAGTTGTTCACGTGTGGTAAAATGCGTCATGAATGCGTCTTACAAGGGTTCTAAGTTTTGAATCTAAAGCATTTCCAATTCATGAACAGGTGAATGATTCCACGTTACACAATTTTCATGATTTAATTGCATTCTGCTCTAGCCGTTTTAAGCGGTCGTGGAAGGTAGGAGTCTATCAATAGGCAAATCAAACCCAGCTCGCAAATCGTTCCATTTGGCCGTGTTGGACGGCATCTTGAATTGTTTCTCTTTAGATTAGTTTTTGTATGTCTTACAATCTGATAAGTTTAACAAACGTTGTATATAATCGTTTAAGGGAAAAAAATCATCAAGTCCTCGGCATTTTTGATGCACTTCATTCCGGCTTCTATTATTTCTTGATCTGACATTGAAATTAAGAGATCGAAGAAACCATAGGGATTTGTTTGTCGAATAGTTGGAACGACACCTTTCAACAGAATGTGTAAAATCTCAAAAGGTGAATTTGCAGCATGCAGCTCCTTCTCAACGTCGTCGCATTGATGCGGTGGTATCGCAAAGATTCCAGCAAGTAGCTGTTCAAGTACAGATAGCCATCTCTTTTTTTCTGAGTGAACTTCTTTTTCGTATATCAAAGGACACTCAAATACTGCTTTGCTCACATCTTGCATTACTTCGTCTAGACGGCTCAGCAAGCAAATTCCCTCACTTTTCGATATTTTATCATCTAGCAAATTCCTTTCACACATCATATAATTTGGTAGATATTCTGCTACTAAGTACGTTTTTAGTCTGCCAAGTGTAACTGATAGTATTTCGCAGAAATTTTCTCTTGTAAAAAAGTCATTGGGTGTGTCCTCAAGCACCCAGAATATTACATTTTTGATCATATAGGAAGAAATATTTTCACAAACAGGTTTGAGATGGCGTTTTGTTAACATTTTCATCACCGCGTACAATTTGATTTGCACGTCGTTAAAAGAACGCACCAGCTCTCGTTCTGCTAAGGTGAAGGACAACCTCCATTGCAGCCGGTCGATGTCTGTATTGGTCATTCCAACAGGAACTACAAAGACATCAAAATTTCTGATAGCGTCTATTAAATCTTTATTAGGCCAGCCGAACATTCTTTTTCTAGCACACCACTGCTCTATTGAAGGAAATGAACAAGGAAAAGCTGCTACATAATCTATGGACACATGTCCAGTATCGATGAAAGGTATTGGAATTTTAAAAGGCTTTGATGGCCCAGAGGGAGTTTCTATCTGGAATTGTCGTCCAAACCATCCAGAGTTCTCCCTAGCTGCATTATTTGCTATTGCACCTATGAAATCGCCATTATTTCGTAAGTATTGTTTTCTGTTGACTCGGGTAATGGCCGATTTTAGAAATCCTAAGAACATTGAATTGTCTTCCTTCTCCTTTAGTGAAACTTTCTCTAAAAATGAGTAACCCGGTGGAACATAGTCTTTACGTGTATCAAGTTTAAATACTGCATCATATCTTGCTTTTTCATGATGAGACGGTGTATTTTCAAAACATTTTATTGAACGATCTACAAATATTACGTCGGCATCTGATTCAAAGGCAACCCCAGTCCCTTCTCCGCGGCTCCCAGCGACAATGACATCTATATTAGTACGCCAATTTCTTTTTGTAATTCTAGTCCCACTTATTTCAGCATTATCGCTGATTTTCCACCGTTTCACTGTCAAATCTTTCGAAAATCCCAAGTTTTCTAATGCCTCATATATACACATATCTTTAACTATTCCTTCCTTTGCAGCTGCCATTTTATTACATCATAATCTTTTTATGCCTGTCAGATATGGAATTATTTTGCAACGTTAAAATTTAAATATAAAATTTCATTGCTAGTGTTTCAATTACGCCCTTGCAAGCGAATGATTTCTCACCGACGTAAGTGTCGCTTTCCTTGATAAAACATACATCCGGTGTCCACTTGCAATCTCGCTATCAGTGACAAGTAAAATGGTTTCCTGCGGGGATCATTTTTAATGATATAAAGATATTTCATTTAACTATTTTCAACATTGTTTGGGGGATAAATAAACGTTTGTGTCAGGAATATAGTTGACAATAACCGATCAATATAGAAGAAGGTATTTGGAAACTGGTGACCGTTAAAGACCTGAGACCAAGATTCAAGATTCAAGATTCAAGATTTTATTAAGGCACAAACATAATGTCTATTGCCATAAACAATAATGGCGTGTATACATACATATAAAACATATTAACATATTAACAAATGCATAAAAGATCTAAATACGAGAAAAGTAATATTACATATATAATATCACAGTCATGAAATAAATATTAAGACTATTATAATTAATGTTTGAAATTAGTTGGAATTAGCTACCAGTTGTTTCTCTAGCTAAAGTTGCATAGTAAATAAATTGAGATAATTTCTTTATAACATTCTGTTGTGAGTTATTCATTAACATTTTAAATTTGTGTACATTTGGCCAAGAGCAGTAGTATTTAGGTAAATATTCTCTTCGTAGATCAATGTAATACGGACAAGCAAGTAAAAAATGATATTCCGTTTCCACTACATTCATATTGCATTTTAAACAAAATCGTTGATTTCTTTCAATATTTCTAAATCTTCCTTCTTCAATCATTAATTTATGAGCAGAACATCTAAAACGTGAAAGGGCTATTCTATATTTATTATTTATAATACAATCAAGATACTTCTCTTTTCCAAACGTGCTTTTAATTAAACTATACGTATCAAGTTTGCTAGAATTATTAATTTCAGAAAACCATTGTTGATAATATTGATCATATATACGTTGGATAATAGACTTAAGAAAAATAGAATGCGGGTTATCAAATAAGTAAGAAAAGCCTAAGTCTTGAAGGAGACATTTTACATCATTGGTCCATTTATTAACAAACTGATTGTTATTATCTGTCATCATCATAAGTTTATACAAAAATGAATCTGGATTCTTAGCAGTTCTAAACCAAAACTTTACAATACTAATCTTACGTAAAACAAGAAGGGGAACTCTACCTAATTCACCATATACGGTAGCATTACATGTTTGTTGTCTAACACCTAAAACTTGCTTCATAAACTTTTTATGAACTCGCTCAATATCTGGAGAAGGTCAAACATAAAACAATTATGTATTTCTTTTTAAGAAAATGATAAAATACCATTTTCTGAATAATTCCGAGCAAAAAAAGTAAAGTAAACACACAAGTTTACGCAAAATATATCTCTATTTAGTATGGCAGATGTCACTACGAATATTTTAATTTTGTAGATTTTCAGTATAAACAATTTATTGTTTGTAAAATTTGAGATAGATACTAAAGAAACATCGATAATTTTCAAACACATCATTCAAGTTTTTCCACCTTAAACGGTAAAATAATTATAGAAAATTAGAAATATCACGTAATAGTTTTTTGTTGTTAATTAGGTGTAATTCGGACTAATTCCCTAGAGGTAAATCCGTAACGTACCGGCAAACGGTATTTAGCTAGGTTTTCGAAAAGGTCAATTAACCAATCATGTACGATTTACAGATCACATGCTCCTCCATGTACCGAAAACAGGTCACGTGCTCTTCCATGCCTCAAAAGTTAAACGCGTACCAATACCCTGCGGTCTTCAGACCGCAGGGAATAAGCTTTTTTATTACCCCTCACTTTTTTCGTAATGTTAATTTACCATAGGCCTCTGGGAGTTATTTTTACTGTTAATGCAAGTGTATCATGTGACCAAGAATTTTGTACTGTTACATATGGCCGCCATTTTTTCTCGATTCATTCTTATTTTCGACGTTAAACCCCGATAGGACATCAATTTCTTCTCTGGAGTAACTATGACACCCATAAAATTTAGTTGTTTGCACCCTGGTGTGCTTTTCGCGTATAAAATATCTTTTTGTTGAATAGTCAAAAAGTAAACATCCGTTTTCAACGGAAGTAATTGCAATGTAAATAATTATGTGTCAAACTGGAACATGCAGACGATTTAAGCATGCAACAAAGGATTATTTAACAATTTTAATCAGTGAAACGTTACAGATATGGTGGACAGACATAGGATATCATCGTTATTTTGTCAAAAACCATGCGAAGAATATTCTGGAAACAGAAGGATCAGATTTCACAGATCATAACCGTATAAATGGGTTAGTGTTTTGTTTTCTAAATAAAACACAGCTTATTGTATGTTTATGACTTGTGGATATCATCACTTGCTTAAAGAATAAAGGAAAAAGAAAACTTCTCAAGTAGTATGAGGACCAAAGCCCTAACCCAAGCAATATGTCCAAAAAAAATCCGCGTTGTTTGGTCATTTTGGACCGGCGGTTGTTCTTTCCATATAATTTATAAAGTGTACAGTATAGATTTTCGTAAAAAACCAACAACACCATTTATCGAGCCAATCGTTAAAAAAGCATTTGTCTGAAATTCCGTTGCAGATTCTTTTTTTTGTATTAGTTTTGAGGGTCTTCTCTGCACAATATGAGGACCGAACCTTAACCAAAGCAAAATATCCAGGAGATTCCCGCGTGGCATAATCGTTTGTTTGGACCGGCGGTGTGTTCTTTCTGTATATAAAGTGTATAAATTTTCGTAAAAAGCACCATTTTCTTGAGTCCTCCGTTCAAACAGCATTTGTCACATTCCATTGCGAACTCATTTTTGTATTAGTTTGGAGGTGTTCTTTGCACAATATGAGGACAAACACCAGAAGCCAAGCGTGTCGTGTGTTTGTTCCTTCTCTATATAAAGTGTACAAATTTTCGTAAAAAGCACCATGATCTAAACACAACCGTTCAAACAACATTCGTATGATTCCGTCGCGGATTCGTGTTTGTATTAGTTTGGAGGGTGTTCTTTGCATAGTCTGAGGACCAAGGCTTTAACTCAAAAAATATTTTCAGGAGATTTCCGCGTGGCGTGGTCGTTTTTGACCGTTGATTTGTTTTTTCCTGAATATAACATGTATATATTTTCATACAAAACACGATATTATCAAGCCGACCGTTACAACGACATTTGCCCAATCGTCTGATTCCGTTGTTGATTCGTTTTTGTATTAGTTTAGAATGTCTTCTTTGCACAATATAAGGACCGAACCCTTACCCAAGCAAAATGTCCAGGAATTATCTGCGTGGCTTTGTCATTTTGTTTATGACAAGTGATTTGTTCTTTCTTTATATAAAGTGTGTAAATTTTCGTAAAACACATTTTCTCGAGCAAAACATTCAAATACCATTTGTCTGAATTCGTAACGGATCGGTTTTGTATAAGTTTGGAGGGGTTTATTTGCACAATATACATGTATGGACCAAAGCCATAATCTGAGTAATATGTCCGGGAGATTTCTGCGCGGAGAGGTCGTTTTATGACCTGGCTATTTGTTCTTTCTGAAATAAAGTGTATAAATTTTCTTTAAAAAAACACCTACTTCTTGAGCAACCCCTTAAAACACAATCAGTCTCATTCCGAACTGGATTCGTTTTTCATTAATTTGGGGAGTCTTCCTTACAGGAATATAGGTCCCAAAGCCCGAACACAAAGCACATTTCAGAGCCATTTGCGCGTGACATGGCCGTTTTATCGGACCGGCGATTTGTTCATTCTGTATACAAAGAGTTGTTGATAAATGATATTCTTTTTAAACCCTTTTCTTTCTTTTTAAACCCTTTTCTATATAAAAGTTACATTAGTTTAACGCTTATCTGGGGAAGTGATTGTGCGAATAAAGTTACTGAATATGTTTTCAATGTCTAACCAAAGTAAAATATGAGATGAAATTGTGATGTTATATAATTTCTCATGCACAGGATAAATTTTTCAACTATTGGATGTTTATTTTGTCTTAATAATCTAGAATTTTGGAACGACTCCTGTACTTTGAATTTCAATAACTTATTTACAGAATTTCTTATCTAGAATGAACATTACTTCGAATTCTGATACAAGTAACTGATGGGAGGCACAAGTCTTTCTTACTTATCAAATGTGAGACCTCTAAATAACATTCTCAAGGTTTTGTCACATACATACTTTCCTGTTAATACCGTACTTAACATAAAATTTAAATGATTTTCTGTTCCATGATGTCAAAGCCATACAGATAAGCATTTTTTTAACAATTAATCATTTTTTTATTACCTTGTGCCTGCTGGGTTTGGAGATTGTACATGTAGGTGGTAAAAAATCCCTGTTATAGATAAGGTTAATGTTTTGTGGCGGATAGACAAACAGACAGACAGTCAGACAAAAACAGTAAGACCCCCAAACTATCAATCCATGAGGGGTATAACCCAGGCAATGGTCAAAACATAAACAAAACCAGTGTATCAATTTCAATATTATTTATTGCATGGTGTTAAATAGATTTGTGAAAATTATGTCTACTGTAGATCAAAATATACATACATTGTAGATTTATTTACAAAAAATAGATAATAAGAAACACTCTGGATTAGTCTGAAACTTTGTATATTATGAAACAAAAGAGAAATTATCTCCCCTGAATGAACAGGTACATGATATCAACTATAAACGATCTGTTATCAAGCAAATACAAAGTGTGATAAGAACATGAGCCGGTACGAAAATTAGGATTTCCACAACCAATTATTGAAATATTTTTGAATGTCTGATAGAAAAGTCAAATTTTTGTATCATTTTTTATTTCATTTTCAGATAATTTGGGCAGTTTTTTTACAGTTCAAATTCAAACAAAAAGATTATCTTAAACAATTTAATACTTTATAAAAACCTACAAGGATAAGTACGATATCTGGATTTTTCATAGTACATTCCTCAAATAAGCACTCCTCCCCTTGATTCTTACTTGGTTGAGACAATAACATGAGACCGACCCCTTTGTCAAATTGGATGTGATAGGAACTTTTTGAGCATAAAAAAAATCTTTTTTTTCTTCATACAATCACAAAAGTTGCACTTTACACTTAACTTAAATTTTTATAGAGAGCCAAAATGTTTGATACTTTTTAACAAAAATACAATACCATTTACCCATAACCTAATGGAACTAAGTGATTAACCTTTGCCACCAGGTTCAAGTCAGGCCAGTTTGTACTACCATGCAGTCTGACCAGGCTCGATACTGTTGGTAGCTCAACTTTTTTTTTCATATTTTGTTACTGAAATCTCTTAATTTTGAATAAACTTTTTTATATTTTGTAACTGAAATCATTTAATTTTGAATAAACTTTTTGTATTTTGTTACTGAAATCTCTTAATTTTGAATAAACTTTTTATATTTTGTAACTGAAATCATTTAATTTTGAATAAACTTTTTGTATTTTGTTATTGAAATCGTTTAATTTTGAAAAAAAACTTTTTGTATTTTGTTACTGAAGTCTTTTAATTTTGAATAGACTTTTTGTTTTTTGTAACTTAAATCTCTAAATTTTGAATAAACTTTTTTGTATTTTGTTGAAATCATTTAATTTTGAATAAACTTTTTTGTATTTTGTTACTGAAATCTTTTAATTTGAATAGACTGTTCCAAATTTAAATGCTGGAAATTCTATTACACAAATTCAGCAGGTTAAATATTGATTTAAATGCTTTATCATTTTTTTTTTAAATTAAATTCAAATTGCAGAAAATAAACAAAAATAAACTAAACAAGATCATATAAATTCATTAACAAAGACAAATGCATTAAGAACTAAACAATTATCATAAAGCAAAATTATCACAGGGCTAAGTAAGGTAAAAACAAACAAAAAAAACATGCAAATCCACTCCAAAGTAATAAAAAGCCATTATCTAAAGGATTTCTACATTATATCTTAATCAAATTGTAATAACTTATTACAAAACTGGTTACATCATTTTCAATTAAAGCAATTTTGTTGAAGAAAACTACATGGACAATAATTTGTTCATTTTTTTAAAAAATTGTAGCCAAATAAACATTGATATTATCCTAAAATTTGTTAGGATGGATTTAAATTAACAAATTGAACCAATGTCAAAGAGTTGTAACCAAGGTGAAAGAGTTGTAACCAAGGTAAAAGAGTTGAAACCAAGGTCAAAGAGTTGTTACCAAGGTCAAAGAGTTGAAACCAAGGTCAGAGTTGTAACCAAGGTGAAAGAGTTGTGTGACCCTACAGGGTGATAGAAGAAATATCTCCCTGAAAATATTGTCAATGAAGGTGATATTCATGTGCCTCATGATGATATAAAAATTACTCTAAGAGGGTGATATTAAGTCAGACAACATAACTTCGTTTCCATGGTTACACAAAATGTTATCAGTAAAACAAAACTCTAATTTTACTGTAGAGCAAAATCTTCATGGTGCCATAAGCCTATGTAACAAAGTTTCTATTAACTTTTAGTTTGTTTCCAAACTAAATTTGATTTCTCATTTCAAACATTTAAAGAAACACTGTCTTTATTCGTTCTTAAAGGTAAGTAACTTTTATCAATAATTTGCTCAACTCTGAAGTTTTAAGATTGAAAATAACTGCTCTGCTCATTATCAAAATACTTCATTAAACACAAAGTAGTAAATTTAATACAAAGTAGTAAATAAAACATAAAGTAGTAAATTTAACACAAAGAAGCAGAGTTAACTAAATACAATGAAATAGATATCATTTACTTTTTTATAACAAAAAGCTTTCTATTCAACATTTTTGTAAAAGAGAGAGCAAAAAACAACGTAAAAAACTGAACTGGCAACCTAAAATTCTGCATCTTTGTAGAAAAGAACAACAAAGTAAAATGGTTATAAAAATGGCACTTCTTCATATTTTTGTATAAGTAAACATATCAAAGTTTCATAAATATATCAAAATACGAAAGACAATGAAAAAAAAAACATGTGCATTATGCATAAAATGGATTAATGGTTGATTACAAGCCAACATTAATTTAATTTCAAATTCTTTTAAAACAAGCTCCCTCATAGTATAGTTACTGTTGTATAACAGTCAGCAAGAACAGGATAAAACTGGAAATAGTAACATAGCTAACAAAAATAATTTGTTCAATACATAAATGCATAACCCACACGTCAAAATATGTAGTTTGATAACTGGTTACTATTCATTTGTAAAAAGTTGCTGAAAATGGCTTCAAAGGTGATGCAGACTTTATGATATATACCAGGTATATATCATAAAGTCTGCATCACCTTTGAAGCCATTTTCAGCAACTTTTTACAAATGAAATCAATCTTTAGCACAATAACTTTGGTATTCTATGAATGGCATTAGGGGAAATTAATCCATCTCTGTGACAGTACTTATTCTAACAAACAACTTTGAAACTTAAAAGCAAAAAAAAACAGCAGCAAGAAAACGATATAATAATTTTTTTAAATCAACAGCCAAGTTGCGATGACATAAATACTAGTATATGAAATGTCCGTCCACTGTAATTGAAGTCCATGGTCCGGCAGAACAACTCTTACTTTCTTTGATCATACTTATACAGTAACAGAAATCGTTAACTATAAATTAAGCACTTTGATAAAAGAAATTCCCAGATCTATAAATAGAAAACACATTCCCAAACTTAACATGTGTATGTACAAAACAATCAATGATAATATGTACATCAATTAAACAATTTTAAGTATGGATAAAAAAAACCTCTAAATAAATCTATGGCATTGATAAAGGGCTCTAATATCTGATTTCTGGCTTAATACCTACTAATGCACACTTAGTAGTTTGAGCTTCTATTAAGAAAGCAAGGAACAAAACAAATCAAATCTTATGATATTAAACTACTCTAAAAACATTAAATTGTATAACAAATGTGCTTGCTCAATCTGGTAGAAAAAACATATATCTTTTTCAGGAGAAATTTCTAAACATTTACTTAACTGAATATATCTGATCGGCTGGTAAGATTGTGCCAGACAATAATGGTCAGATGAAGAATCATCCATTGCCAATGAATTAAGTATTAAACTGCAGGTTTGTACAAATACATGAACTATTATGTTTTTAAACTTTCAGCACTTTTATCATGCGTATCTTTTATACTGTTGCGACAAGTTATTTTGTAAAATTGGTCAAACATAATCATCATATGGAGATGGCAAAAAGTGAAAGCCAGATAATATTATGTTTTAAAGCTTTTGTCTATATTAAAATAAAGTGATGATTTTCAGCAAATTTTTATCAAAAGTACCATATATAAATTATAATAAAAATTAAAATGATATAGTGCCATCTGTGTAACACAGGTGACTATGTGTAAAGTTCATATTGTTGAAAATGACACTATCCTCTGTGTGTCTATAGCTTTATAAAGACTTTTCGTCATCAAATACAGGTTCATCTTCATTTTATAAAATGGCATACCTTCAAACTACAAATATATTTTGGTAAAATCAATTAAAAGAACCTACAATGATAAAATCGTTGAGTGCTAAAGTCTACTATTTTGTAAATGAAATAATGAAATCCGTTCAACCACAATGGACAGTCCCGACTTCAAAGCATTTAACAGAATCCGAAAGAGAAAGGTTAGGCTTATTCCAGCATTTACTTTCAAGGAATCTGACATTATTTATAAAAATAAATTGTACAAATATGGATGAGACAACAACAACATAAAATCTGTAACAAAATCTCTTTATAAAAAATCTAATGTAATTACATGTTCCTTTTCAGTGTATAAACAATATGTACATAAAATAAAACATCATTACAATAATTTCTGTGTCCGTATTTACATATAATGTATATAATCCTGACAAATTCATACATTTTGTCACCTTAGTGAAGTAACGGTTCAACTCGTATTAAATTACATAAGGAGTTAAACGATTACTGCACTAAGGTGACAACATTAACTATTATTTACACAATAATAAAGCTTCATTTTAAATAAAATATCAAAAATATCTAACAACTGTCTTTAATGATACATGAAAGGTTTTGGGGAACGAAAAGGTTGAATGCTTGAAAATCATTTGAAATACAGCCATTTTGTTCCAGTTCCATGACATACAATGTTATTTCAGTAAACGTTTACTTCTCGAACCCTTAACCTGCTGGAACCAAATGTAATCAGCCTTTGTCACCAGTATACAGCCAGGCCAGCCTGCACATCTGTGCTCTATACTGTTGGTAGCTCAATTTTTTGTGGTATTTTAATAATAAAATCTCTTAAATTTTGAATGGACTGTTCTAAATTCGTAGCCTGGCAAAAATCATTACTAAAATAAATTCAACAGGTTAAAGGCATAATATACTGAAAAGGAAGTGAATATAGATACAAAACTTATAAACAATATCCCTCTTTAACTTATAACTGATTCTGTATTCTTTAATAAATACTTGACAAATTGTACAAATTCTTCGGTTATATTTATAAGTGAAAATAATATACACATTAAATCATTCGAAATCACTCAAAGATGTGTGAAATGCATACACTGGAAATCTGGAAAATGATTTCGGAAATAATACTTCGAATGCAATAAACTAAGTTTTCAGGTATTGAAGTACATGTATGAATTTCACTTATCATAACGTTTAACCCAAACCCTCATGGTTTGATTGACGTTCATGAAGTTAAAATTGCGTTGAATGGTTATCTTTGAATTCCAGTACTTTTGGACTTGTTATAGGTGATTTCCTCTCTGTTCTTCTTGGTATCGGTGGTGGCGCGGCTTCTTCGTTGATTGTTTTATGTATCGTGACGGGGGAATTCGAGGAATTTGAGTCTGACCTAGCTACACCTTGCACTGACAACACTGATGGCCTGACAATACCTTCCGCACCATTTCTCATAATGTTGGCATTAGGGCTTAATTCTGTGGAACCTTTCCTCGGTGGCAACGGGGGTACTTGTCTCTCCGATCTGCTAGGAGGCGTGTGAACTTCTTTTGTAGTACTCTGTGAAAAATTAGTAAAAAAGTTACATTTGTGAAAGCTCAAATAAATTAAAATATCAGATTTGTATAATAACGATATTATATTTATGAAATAAATGTATAAGCAAAAATGATATCTTATGCATGTTACATGTTACATACAACAAAACCTCCATTATACATTATCTGTTTTTTGTTGGGGGTCACATCAAAAGTCTCATTAATACAGTACAGATCATAATAATTAAGGTGATTTTTTTCTCCAGCTTTATTTATAAAAGGAACCCTGCTTAATGTATTATTACATTCCCGAACATGTACATAAGTAGATACCTTCCAAAGGACATAAAATACAAATGTTCTTTTTGGGATATGAAGCTGCAGCAGTGGGAGGCAAGTAACTGTAGGTCAGCAACTTTTAATAAATTCAAACTATGTTTGAATTAGAATACACAGAAGTAAGGTAAAAGTTAATGACCGTAATCACTCAGCCAACAGATCGCCACCCCTTGTAATTATACAAAGTAATTGTATAAGGCAATGATTGGAAAGCTTACCTTTTGTTTGTTTGAATCACGTAATTTTTCTGGTAACGCTGGTGCGTCTCCGTTAGGTAAGGAGAATGTTGGTATTGTGGGTGCTGAAAATAGAAGAAAAATTGTGTTGCTCTTAAAAGTATATTGCAGTATAACGAACAAGATTTTTCTTCTTGCAGAGTGCATGTGGTAATGTTGAAAATGTACTGCTGTGAATAATCAAAAGCTAAAAATAATAATTTTTATAAAGCGAGTTCAATCTCAATGTATGATATTAAAAGCTTTCTAAATTCTACAAAAATTCTTTTTCTTAAAAATAACTATAAACTACATGAAAAAAGTTCCTCTTCAAAAAGCCTGGCATCAACAATTTTTTTTTCAAGTTATTAACTCAATAGAGAGAAATAGCTGCATATTTTAACAAATTATATGTGATTTCTGGGTAAAGCAACAACATTTGGCTAAGTTAAATCCCTTAAAACATAAATATTCCCAACCGAAAAGTTTTCAAATTAAAAAAAAAATGTATCACAAATCTGATAGCGAACTCCCTAAAAAAGAAAGATAAACTGATAAAATTAATGAAATCAGTATTCCATTTCATAGTAAATTGCTAAAGAAACAGCCACAAAACTTGGTTTCTTCTTGATTATATATGTGATAAAATTAGTTCAGCTTTTATTTTTTTATGGAATTAATATATTAAATGATATATAAAAGCACATAATTTGAACTGAATGAAAAAAAAAGGAAAGAGGCTGGAATCAAAAATAAGCTTTGTTTGTTATCAAACCCAATAAACAAAAAAAAGGGTTAAAATATTATTAGTCCTAATTTTTCACTGCTGAATTCACATAATCGACTTTCCCTAGCATTGAATTTTTGGAACGGTCCATTATAATTATCAGAGGGCTTTCAGTATTAAAATTGAACAGTCATCAGTATACAACATTTTCAGACTGCAAGGCTTGCCTGGCTCAATACAGGTGGTATAGGTTTAGGGCCATTGGCATCAATATCATACAACATTTCATGAACAAGGGACATTTTATTGTAGAGGATATTTGATTTTAGTGACTATACACTTTATTTCACTAGGATTAAATCAAGACTTGCTCAGATATGCAGGCTGGCCTGGCTATTAATACATATGGCAAAGGTTTATTACTTTCCATTTTTGTTGGGTTTTTTGTTTGTTTTTTATGTGTTTTGGTGTTTTTCCAGATTAACTGGTGGAGGAAGACCTCAGGTTCCCTTATTGTGCATTATTTCAGTCTCAAACTGGCACCTGAATAAAACCACTAACATTTCATAACCTAGCTGGATAGTTTCCTCACATGAAAGTACCCAAAGTCCATGTTGAGATTCAAACCCACAGCAGTGAGGGGCAAGTGGATTGAAGTTAACAACCTTAACCACTTGACCATTGATGCCACTTTAATTACTTTCCATTCCAGCATGTTAAGAGCTAAACTGCCCTGCATGAAAAAAAAGCAAAGATTTTGATCAAACTGCACCAGGATATCATTGTATCATTTTGAAAAATAAGCTTTATTATTTGTGGGGCACTAATTTTTGTGGTTTTCGTGGATAGGTCAATCAACAAAATTTAAGATTCAACGAAATCTAATTTCTCCTGACATTAAATTATGTTCATTTTACATTTTTGCAAATAAACTGACAATTGATATTATATTATTTGCATTTTACAGACAAACAACAAATCTAAAATCTAACTAAAATGTCCTTTTTTGACAAATCAAAACTTAATGAATTCTCAGTAAGATGCGCTGGCCATTTGAAGAGATAACACCTTAAAAGCACACACTTATATGGTGCAAACAAAACTGTCTAAATTTCAACAAATTCTGATTATTATATGCAAATGCAAAGTCATTTTAACAAAAGAAACATGAAGGAATATATATATATATATATGTAAACATATTTTAAATAATATCTGCTCTACCCAACACACCAAGAAGGAATACAAACAACTTTATCCTGTTATACCCTAATATAACTATTATACCCTTACCATACTAAATATTATAAATGGACTTGTCCATCTTGCAATCTGGACATGACCATTTATCATTTTTAGGGAAAACTTTAAGAAATAAAACAACTACAGTGTATATAGCAAACAGTGCAGACCATGATCAGAAACCACTGGCATTGGACTGCTCCTCTTGGTCTGCACTGATCACATGGGAAGAATTAGTTGCCCTCAGTAGGCTTAGGGTTATAATAAATGTATACAGTTCAAATAAAAATCGTCACCAAGTACACTACACTTCACCTGAAAATAATTTCCTGAAACCATTCCTATTTTCATTACAAGGTACATAATTGTTCACAAAGAAACACTACCAGTCACCACTAAAATTTGTGTCATACACTTATTACGATGTCACAAAGAACACTACCTGTCACCCTCTACATTTGTGTCACATACTTATTATAATGTCACAAAGAACACTCACTGTCACCCGCTAAATTTGTATCACAGACTTAATATGATGTCACAAAGAACACACCCTGTTACCTGCTAAATTTATGTCATAGACTTATTACGATGTCACAAAGAACACGACCTGTTACCTGCTAAATTTGTGTCACATACTTATTATGATGTCACAAAGAACACACCCTGTTACCTGCTAAATTTGTGTCACATACTTATTATAATGTCACAAAGAACACACCCTGTTACCTGCTAAATTTGTGTCACATACTTATTATAATGTCACAAAGAACACACCCTGTTACCTGCTAAATTTGTGTCACAAACTTATTATAATGTCACAAAGAACACATCCTGTCACCCATAAATTTGTGTCATAGACTTTTGATTTATACATATGAAGTTTTTTCTTTATTGGATAATTTAATGATTTTGATAATTTACAGGATATTTTATTACTTATTGATGAAATACACTATAATTGAAACTTGATGAAATACTATAAATCAGAAACTTACAGTATAGTCTTGTCTTGCCTGATTTATAAATTAACTCTTTTTTTCAGGTCATGAGTTAAAGGGGTAAGTCTATTAATATGGCTGCATTCTAACAAAGAGTGGATAGAATTAATTGTGCAGAAAGTTGAAAACATCAATTTAGAAGAAAATTAATTATTTATTTATAGTATTCCTTGAAAAAAAGTGTCTCAGACTTTTTAAAGAAAATTTGTTAATTTCTTTTTTTTGGAAATGTATCTTCGTTTAAACTTCCACTGTGCAATACATAAGCTAAACCTTTCCATGTTTCTATTGTCATTCATCATTTACACCTTCAAATTTGTAAAATGGACTTGACCTGCTTTTAAATTGGATTCTAACACTCCACATGATTTTGCACTATAGACAACGAAAAAAAAAAAAAAAACGGTGTTAAACTGCCAATAAACACTGGTTAGGTATATGCGGCTGTTATGTTTTCTCCCTCAATTATGTAGTTTACAAACCCTTATAAAGCAACATTCTAACACTCCACTTGATTTTGTCACTATAGACAAAGAAGGGAAAAAAACCGTGTTAAACTGCCAATAAACACTGGTTAGGGACTACTTGTATATGCCGCTGTTATGTCTCTCTCGATTATATAGTTTACAAACCCTTATAAAGCAACATTCTAACACTCCACGTGATTTTGACACTATAGACAAAGAAGGAAAAAAACCAGTGTTAAACTGCCAATAAACCCTGGTTAGGGACTACTTGTATATGCCGCTGTTATGTTTTCTCCCTCGATTATATAGTTTACAAAGCCTTTTAAAGCAACAATAAAAAGCATTTTTATTTTCAGTTCTTATAATGTTTTTTTTTCATACAATAGCGAAATAATATCCCACATACACTAACGCCACAATTATTTGATCCATAAAAGTTAATAAATATTTTGACAAAACAGCCAGTTTAACGGTGGATTAGATTTGTTGGATGTGGTTCAGTATGGCCTGACCGGTGTTATTGTGGATAAGGTTTGTTGGATGCAGATCAGGGTGGCCTGGCCCGTATAACGGTGGATTAGATTTGTTGGATGTGGTTCAGTATGGCCTGGCCCTTGTTATTGTGGATAAGGTTTGTTGGATGCAGATCAGGGTGGCCTGGCCCGTATAACGGTGGATTAGATTTGTTGGATGTGGTTCAGTATGGCCTGGCCCGTTTTATTGTGGATAAGGTTTGTTGGATGCAGATCAGGGTGGCCTGGCCCATATAATGGTGGATAAGATTTGTTGGATGTGGTTCAGTATGGCCTGGCCCTTGTTATTGTGGATAAGCTTTGTTGGATGTGCATACAGGGTGGCCTGCCCCATATATGAGTACTGGTAGATAAGATTTGTTACTGTCGCCTAAATGGTTAAAACTACAAATTTTGAACACAATAAAAATATTATGATGAAAATTTGACATAAACTTGAACCTGAAAATATTCTTCATCTACTTTTCACACTGCATGCATTCTCCAGTCTAACTAGCAAGAAAATTCCACACTCATATTATATACATGTAATAGTTTTAACATCATATTGAAGTCATGCAGGCAGTACTTACAGTTTACAAAGGTTGAAAAAAAAATGTAAATATATTATATTTATAATTATATCAAAGTTGTTGCAGACTACACATCCTCTGATTAATTTTGGCTGATAAAAAAATGCAGGAATAATTGTTAAAATATAAGAAAATTCTGAAGCTGATTTTGCTCCAGACGAAAGTAATTGTTAAAAGTCAGATTTACATAAATATAGCCACTATGTCACACTACTGTGTTGAAACTGTTTCCGTTTTTTGTTTTTTTCCCCCATATTTCTTCTTTTTTTCTGGTAGGGGGTTGGGGTACTATAGGGTTTTAATTGATTTATAATCATAAGTGCATTACAGATTTTATTCACTATGGCTTTTAACCCTGTGTGATCATAAAAGGTGACTAAATGGGTTCAAATTATTTGACTCTATGCATCTCTTAGCTCCATCAGGTTAGGTTTAGACCCCTGATTTTGCTTTAAGTTTGAAACAACCGAGGTTAGCCAAAATCGTCTTTCCAGTTTCAGCACCATATGACCTAAACTGTGTTGGTGTGCCGTATATTTTAAAGATTTCAATTATATATACATGTATATATTTCTGTTAGCCAAAGTGCTGTATTTACTGGGTAAAATGTCAAAATAATTTCACACAGATTGTGACATAGTGGCTAGTTTAAGCACCAATATACAAAGAAGACAAACACAAAACACAAACAGTAAGCTACATGTACAAGATACAAGAAATTCTTACACAGCGGGGAATCCAAGTCTGGAAAAATACCTTGCATACCTTAGTCTATATTTATATATAATCATAGCATTTGATAAAAAAATGTTACAAAAATAAATAAATAAACGGCCATACTGATTTGCTCACTAACATTCCATAAAACATGCAAGTTACTAAAATAACCTGTAAAATAAGGCAGGTTGTTTCCATACTTGCGCTTATTAGCTAACGATAATTTGAAGCATTACGTAAAAATCTTAAACCTTTGTCGTTCTAAAAATATATAAAGGCGTGGATACAAATTTGGGCACGGACATGGAAACTGGATAGAGTATAACTTACTTTCCCTATTGGTTAATAAAAATTCATAAACTTTTTAAACTGTTACATCACAAAACAAATCTATTTTAAAATAAAAACCTGAAAAAAATAAACCCAGACTTTTTAATATAATCACTAGAGCATCTAAATTTTTGCAATAAGCCATGCCTTATAAAGGGTGTAAAGGGTTCAGAGTGACACCTTATAAAGGAGTAAAGGTTACTGAAATGGTTTCTGTATGGGTTAACATTTGTGGGAGTTTTATCATTGGTATGGGTGGAGCTCAAGATAAATAATGGAAAATGAGTGTTCACAGTAGCTCTGTTTAAAAACACTTACTTTTAAGACGAACTTAAACAAACAAATAAACAAAAATAAACAAATAGTACACAATACATAAAAGGAAAAGTATCGTTATATTCTCAAACACATACATTTAATTATCTGCAAACAAAAAAGATCCAAATATTTCCCTCATTTTGTCAGGTTCTTGCAGAGTCCTACAAATTGTTTTTTCTTGAATCTATGTCAACAGTTGTTGAAAATTCTATGCAAAACTGGTTATATTTATGCAAAATTCTTGGCAAATATGATAATACATGGTTACATATAGCAAACAAATAGCAAAAAAAAAAATATTTTGTTCCAATATTCAAATACAACATACATGTAGCTCTAATTTAACTAAACTCTAGAACCCCATCATGGCTGTATTAAATCCTTCCAAAGTAATGAAGAACCCAGATAATTGTCAGAGCTTGGTTGTAAAACAAAAACCCAGATAACTGTCAGAGCAAGAAACCTATATAATTCTCAGAACTTGGTTGTAAAACAAGAACCCAGATAACTTTGAGAGATTTTGATTCCAAGAACCCAGATAACTATCAGCTTGGTGGTAAAACAAAAACCCAGATAACTCTCAGAGCTTGGTTGTAAAACAAGAACCCAGATAACTTTGAGAGATTTTGATTCCAAGAACCCAGATAACTATCAGCTTGGTGGTAAAACAAAAACCCAGATAACTCTCAGAGCTTGGTTGTAAAACAAAAACCCAGATAACTTTGAGAGATTTTGATTCCAAGAACCCAGATAACTATCAGCTTGGTGGTAAAACAAAAACCCAGATAACTCTCAGAGCTTGGTTGTAAAACAAAAACCCATATAACTTTGAGAGATTTTGATTCCAAGAACCCAGATAACTCTCAGAGCTTGGTGGTAAAACAAAAACCCAGATAACTCTCAGAGCTTGGTTGTAAAACAAGAACCCAGCTAACTCTCAGGGCTTGATTGTAAAAAAAATGATGTGAGAGAGGGGGGGGGATGATATGTGAATCTTAATTACCCTAAAACATTTTCAACAGAAATAATTTTAACACTGGTTAAGCAAAAATGTAACAACAATGCACACAGCAGCAACACATTCTCTTGTATAATTATATAGTTTATAAATCATTAAAAAATCAAAGCATCTTCACAAAAATACAGCAGAAATTATTGTAAAATTGAGTGATGTGAATGAGCCCTTAAAACTTTTTTTGCAAGAAGTAGATATTGACACAAAATATTTACTTTTATAAAAGTAGTGATCTCTTCATAAAACATGGTGAATACTCTTTGAATCAATTTGTTAAAGCTGACAAATTTGTTATCTTCCCAGTTAAAAACAACAGATTTTACTATGTAAAACTTCCATAGACCTTTAATTTGTTTATGTAAAATTCTCAGAGACTTTTAATCCAACTTTGTAATAAACCTATAAATTGACAAAGTAAAATTTCCAAAGACCTATAATTTTACTATTATTATCATTATTATGATTACTATTATTATTACTATATTTATTATTTATATAATTTGTTACCCATGATTTGTTACCCCAAGCTTTTTCATAGTGCTAGTTTGATACACAATATTTTCACTATAGTTTTAATAACTTTTTTCAAAATACATGAAATTTACTTTGATGATTAAATGTATTCATTTCTTTTCTTTCTGAATGGATATTTAACAATACTTTGTGATGCAAACAGCAATGGTATATGTACTTGAGGACAGGGTCAAATTTAGGACACCCCACAATGTATGTAAATCTATCATAGACTTATAGTTTCACTTTGTTATAAACCTATAAATTGATGACATATAGAATTATCATAGACATATAAATTTACCATGAAAATGTTCATAGACATACACATGAATTTGTTTTACTTAATAAATTTTCTAATACCTTTAATTTTACAATATAAATATTCATAAATGTGTAAATTTAGAGCTTTAATTTCAACCAGCATGTCTCCTGATTCCTGCTAATTTTCATGAAAATTATGAAAATGTATAAAAAAAGTAAAATGTTATGAAGTGAACAAAGAAAATAATTTTCACAACGCAAACATCACTTACAATCTATGTAAATTTATCAAAATGAGGTAAAAATATGTAAAAATAGCCCTTACTGTGTACACGGTAAAATTATGGTGATAAATACTGCAAAATTAGTCATTTATTGCACATAACATGTAAATTATTACTTAAATCTTTTGATTTTTCTTCACTTTTCTTGGAATTATAATACATTTTTCTCAAGCATAATTTTCTTGAAATATCTTGGTTCATCTGGAGGCATGCAGCTTTAATATGTAAACTTTTCAGCTATCAATAAAATTAACATGTGTAATTTCTGACGTTCTCTCAAATATACAAATTTGGAAAAATAACTGCTAAAATATTTGGTTATATGTATCATACAGATGTATTAGAGCTCAAAATAAAATTACCAATAAAAAATCATGCTTAAATGTTAAAAATTCAAATCAAATGCAGGTATCTTAGAGTCAAAGCATACAAAACTTGAAACACAGTCTAAATCTCAAACACCTGATTGGCCAATTCAAATTTGAAATTGACCAACAGTTGAGCCCCATTTGTTGACTGGTACACTGTCTCAAGTTTCATATACCTATGACATCTGAGATGAAACTAAATAAATTTAGTATATTACATGCATTCAGTCTCTAAAACAATGGTTACATACATGTCTAAAATTGTTAATGGAAAAAAACAGTGATTAACATAGGACATTCTCTGGTGTATAAATTGGAGGACCATCCCATAACAAAGTGCTTACACATATGAAAATAAAAAATGGCAAGACAACTCAACAGATCTATCACCTAGTCAAACAATTACCTGATGTATGAGGATTCTCTGGAATAAGAAATAAAACCTTTAAAATATATTCAAACTTAGTCGGGAAAAGGAAAAAAATCTGGCAAGCACCAGGGTTCTGTCTTGAGTATATTCAAGGTATCTTAAAGCAAAAAAAAAAAAAAAACTAATAACTAGTAATCCAATAAGGCAAAATGATATATATATAAGAGCTGTCTGTATGACAAGCTTGCTTAACTGATAGTAAAACAAGAGCCTGGAAAATGTGAAATTTTTCTAAGTTCAAAAAATGGCCATAATTCTGTCAAAATTTATGTCAGAGTTATGGACCTTAGACAATGACCCCTTATTATGCTCTCAAATAAGTAAGGGAACTTTCAGCAAATTCCCTTCAAAAGTTTTGAAGATACCAAAAACTTCACGCAAAAACCTAACAAAGTGTGATGCAAATACCTGGATGAGGTAAGATGACTCTCCCTATTCTTAGAGTAATCAAGCTAAAAATTATCAACAAATGCTTCATCATGTTCATACCGGCATATATTATCTAGTAAAAAAAATATTTGCCAAAAGTTTCACTAAAAACAAGTAAGTTCTAATAAGAATAAATAAAAATACAGTCAAACTTGTCAACAAAAGCCTTTAAGGGGATAGTGTAAAACTGGCCTTTGACATTTATAGCCACGTATTAGCTGCAGAATGGATGACTTTATGATTTATTGTTAAAAAGTATCCACAAATGAGTGTGTACAGACAGTAGAAAGTTCAGTTACTTTATGCAGAAGGCATTAAAATTGCAATTATTTCGCAGGAGTTTAAACGAAAATAAAGATAATTACCCGAAGGTCTCCGTCGGTTTGGAAGTGGTGGCATAAGTTCACCTCCTGTTCCACATATTGTATCACGTCTTTGCTTTGATAAGGACGATTGGCTTAATCTTCCAGTAGGAATTTTTGGAGAACCTGATACAAAAATAATATTGCTTGAAACAAATGCACAAATATTTGCTGTACAGTAAAACCTATGCAGGAGAACATCTTTTTGAGACAAGGAATTTTATTTGTTGTGAGAGAGGTTGAATTTATTGCAAATACTCACTTTAGGAAAAAAAGTAATATAGTTGATCAGGGTGCCAGGTTATAAAGAAATCCTCTAAGCTCAAACTCAGGTATTTATATATCACAAGAGATAAGTGACCAAATGTAGAAGGTAAAAAAAAACTAAACAGTCTGACTTAAGGGCTTGAACCCAAATCTTCTGATATTATGAAGCTCTAGTGACAATATCTGGTCACTTATGTAATAATTATTTGAGCCACGTCACGACAAAACCAACATAGTGGGTTTGCAACCAGCATGGATCCAGACCAGTCTGCGCATCCACGCAGTCTGATCAGGATCCATGCTGTTCGCTTACCAACTCTTTTACAAGTAAAGAAAAGGATAGCGAACAGCATGGATCCTGATCAGACTGCACGGACGTGGCTCAAAATTTTCTTATTTGCAGTCATACAATAGGATGCTAAATGTCAAAGGTTCTAAAAGATGTGAAACATGCCTAGGGCTTCAACCCAGAACCTTCTGATTTAATCGACTACTCTAGCAACAACTTCTGGTCACTGATATATTTCTTATTTGTTTAAGACCAAAGACCAGTCCCAGACACTATTACTATGTCTTATACCAACTCTTTCTATCTTGTATTTATTTATCAAATATAATTCCTACATCTCTTAATAAAACAAAATTTACCTGCATTTTGCCCCATAAGAGGGTCACTTCCAGTCTTAACTTTGCTGTTTGTCAAACCTGGTGACATCTAAAAAGTAAAAGAAAAAACATTATACTTAAGGGAAAATTCTTATAAGTATGTAAAAAACTGGGAATTATAACTGTTTTCCTTCTGACAGCAATGTATTTCACGCATGTGACATATGGATACCATGGCCAGTCGTCATTTCTGTGCCCTCTAATCATGGTAAACACTAGTTACTTTAAAATTTTCTCTAAAAATAATAAATCTTTTTGTCCAGATCAAAAGATGGACAAGTCCAGATGTGTTTGTTCTAAGCTTAATAAGGGTCCATCCGCCCTTTCAGGCAGTGAGAGTGTGGACCCTGTACATGTCACCAATCATGTCCTTAAATGGTACTAAATTGCAAAATGGTAACTTATTAACTTTTAATTTTGGACTTTGCCCCTTACACTATGAGTTTAATAACATAACATATGACTTTCTTCAGTTTAATGTGTTCATAAAGTCATTTACCTGTGTGAATAACTGTAGTGATTATTGACTACTAGCATCATTAAAGAGCACAAACAGCTTTTAATTACTGGTAAGTACTGTCTCAACAAACTCTACATAGTTAGGGGTTTTTTTAATACTTAAATCCTTCAAGCTTACAAAAATAACTTTTAAATAAATTAAAATCAGGACAAGTTAAAATCCTGAGATAAAAACAGTTAAATTCTGGAAAAGTAGTTAAAATCTGGAAAAAGTTAAAATCTGGAAAAAATAGTAGAAAATTTGAATACAACATTCTGACATTTTTATAGGCATATCAATGACAGAATTACGCACCAAATGCTTGATTTTTACTATGTTTTTTACATAAAGTCTCTGCAAAACTGGACCTTTACAATGAAAATCAAAGCCCTATCTATTCCAAGTGGGTGGAGAGAACATTTTGTTTCATTTCTACATAATACAGTGGAACATATATATAAACCAGGAAATATCAAACTCACTTACATATATGTCTCATCTTTAAATCTTCAGAGCTAAGGCATTTTTACAACAAGCCAAGCAACTACAAGAAGCTCTGTTACATATATGGATTTTTTTAGCCACAACTAACATATGATTATATTGCTCATAGAAAAACATTCAAAGAAGCATAATATATTAGTTAATGAAAAGAAAATGTTCTTTTTTTCAAAAGAATAATACATATATTCATTAGAAACCATTTTAGCCTTATTATTATTTCTATTTTCATTTTCTCACAATATTTAATATACCTGAGAGAATCCATGAGTTGTAAGAAGCATTGAATGCGGTCTCGAGGGGACAGGTGGAGGGATACCACTGCTGCCCTCTTCTGGGAAGGGCACATAACTCCGTCTAGACTTACACTGAGCAGCAAGGTTAAATGGCAAGTCCTAGAGCATGCAGAATTAGAATATATGTATATATAGAGAAAGAGTACATATCCCAAACACCATTACATCTCATAATATACTTTTGAGCATTGTCATTACAAGTCAGATCACCCCTTACCCGTCTCTAACGGCAATTTACCCCTTTTCTCAGTGATTGGTTCCCACTTCCCTGAGTGCTTGAGAATCAATCAAGAATTTATCACAAATATTAAGTATCTGCTATGCAGATGGATGCTTCCTAAGTTTGCCTGAAAAGATTCATGCTGTTACAGCCTTACCTGAGGATGAAAATTGGAAAAATCTATTTTTAGACTTGGTGACCTTGACATTATCAACTTAAAACCTCTCCTGGTTTTTATGCTGATTTTAACTCTTTTTTGGTCACATGAAGTTGGTCTGTCCATCTAACTGGCTTAGTCTTTAACTGAATACCAGTAATAACCAGTATTGGCTGGATTAAGTTTGTTTATGAGATTCTCTTAGTTTGAACTTTGCTTGATTGAGTTTAGTAATGAGACTAACTGAGTTTAGTTAGAACTTGGTTAAATTGAGTCTGTTCTTGAGATTCTCTTAGTTTGAACTTTGCTTGAGTTTAGTCATAAGACTAACCATGTTAGAACTTGGTTAAATTGAGTTTGAGTCTGTTAATGAGATTCTCTGAGTTAAAAGTTTATTTGAGTTTAGTCATGAGACTTACACAGTTAGAACTTGGTTAAATTGAGTTCATATGACTTTAAATAATTGTGTTGTTGAGATAGACACCAGGAAAATAATTCAATGAATTTTGTCTTTAATAACATAGTGGTTGAAAAATTTGTGCTGAAAAACAAATGAAGAATTGGTTCCTGCTTCAAAGGGAGATAATTATTTAAGCACTTCAGTCACAGTTACTGTTGTCATGACAACTCTACAAACATTTGAAACTGTAAATCCAGTTTAATATCTTAACAGAGTGGCAAACCAACATGATTTTTGGACAAGTACACAGATAAAAAGTTACCCTCCATTCAGATTGGCTTTTTAAGAATATTTTTTTTCTTTTACACTTATCAGATTTTCTTAAAATTAAGTGCATAAACGCCTATATATAAATAAGAATTTATGTTTAAAGCAAAAACTTTTTAAAGGAATTAAATAACCTGCTTATGTTACAATCACAAACTTTAAGCAGCTCTCATTATCTTCTCCTTTACTGTTGCTAGTATCAACATGCAATTTGAAGAATTAATTGTTCAGAAATGCCAAATTCTAGACAATTATCATAGAAATCAAAGCACTGAATGTTCTGGGTATCAGTGAATCATGAGAATCATCAAATAACAACATTGCTTGAGTGTTGTAAGGTCAGTGAGTAGCTGTTAACATTCGAATTCTATTACAACTTTTCAGTGACATGTAGCATTTGTATCAAAGCCAAGGTGTGACTTCAGCAGTCAATTAGAAGAATGCCTTGTTTTGAAATATAAATACGCGGATGACTTTTTCATATTTTTGGTTGAGTTTTGTGACACACCAACACAGTATAGGTCATATGGCTACTTTCCAGCTTTACTGGTGGAGGAAGGCCTCAGGTGTCCTTCCTTGCACTGTTTCAAGCATGAAGGGGCACCCGAGTAGAACCACCAACATTCCATAAGCTAGCTGGATAGCTTCCTCACATGAAAGAATCCAAAATCCCAGATGAAATCAAACCCACATCGGTGTGGGGCTTTCTGGTCTGAAGTCAATAATTGTAAAAAGTTGGCCATGGATGCCCCTAATATGCGGAAAGAAAAAGTCATTTTTTTTTGTTATAAACATTTAAAATTATTTAATATTATCTTATTGCAACATGTTGAGATACATACCAAATTTATCTACTGAAATGATAGACTTTTTTGCTTTTATGCTTGTATGCTTTTAAATTTTGAATTATTTCAGAATTCTTTTAAATTTCATATGACTCTGAAACACCTAATTTAGAACTGTTATGAATTTGGAAACTGCTTCATTTTGAAATGCATTAACAGAAATAATCTGCATGAGCTTTACTGGTTAAAAATGACATAATGATCATGTTTTTCATATTAGATCAGTGTCTTCTGTTCTTAATTCCAAATTTTTTTATTGAATGGGTTGGGATATGATATGGCAAATGAAAGAGACTTCATTCCAAATCAGTAACAGTCAAGAAACAGGTTTCTATGTAGAGGTTTATGCACCTTATTTAAGTCCAATCAGTATTTAAAACAGATATCAATAAAAAAAATTAACTGAATAGAAATTATATTTACAATTTTCCTCTATGTATTTTGTCCAAAAGTAACAACGGTTTGCAACTAACTGTGTGGCAATAAACCTGTCAGAATAGTGGTTTATCAAAACAGAGCAAAAGCTGTCAAACAGACAATTCCTTAAACTATTCTTACTGCTTGATGGTAAAACATGTCTCATGAAATACATTAAGGTGAATTAATCCAGTGAAAATCACTACAAGAGTTATGGGTCTTGACCAGTGACCTAAAATTACGACTAAACTCATGAATGCTGAGGGCATGATGGGATAGATGGAATAACAATACCTGCATGGTAAAGATTACCAGTTAGAGAATAAACTTCAGTCAATATTCAAGACATGGGTCTTTAAAAGTGAACTTTTTTTAAAGGTCCTGAAACATGTGTAAAGTTTCAAGAGAATATCTTAAACTTCAGTCAATATTCAAGATATGGGTCTTTAAAAGTGAACTTTTTTGAAAAACCCCTGAAACATATGTAAAGTTTCAAGAGAATACCTTCAGTAGTTAATATGAAGTTCAAAGCAAAACAAAAACCAGGTGGTCTGGCCAAGATGAATAAAATGGTGATATGGATAGCCCAAACTCTTTTTTTTTTTTTTTGGACTCATCAAGCTATAAATAAGACAATCAAAGAATAGAATTAGCAAGGCTATAATAAGCAATATGTATAATAATGTGCAGAGATAATTAGCAAGCAGTCGTCAAAGTACTGTATAAATGGTGACGTTAGCGATGCAGAAATATTGGCGAATTTCACAAATTAACGAAAATCGCTAAAATTTCCGCTAGCGTAAACCAATCTATCATAAAGTTCTACCCTTGCATGATTCACTTATATTTCCTCATGTGAAATGTCTGGAATTTTACACTCGCTGGCCTTTCTTGACACACAGAAATATCCACTTATACAGTTGATATGATAAAAATTGGTATATGGCAAGATGAGCAAATATCAAACTGGATTTACAGTTACACAGAATATATTTCAACACAGCATAAGGATGGAAAAAATTAGCAAACAGTTTATATGGTGTGACAACAGTGACATAGGTTAAAGGTTTCAGGTATAGGATAATCAAAGGTAGGTTTAGTTAGGATACAATTATCCCCAAGATAAACAAATAATATCATTATGAAAAACAAGGATTGTCCACCCATCTTTCCATATGTCTCATTCAAATGATCATTTATGAAAATTTTGGTAATTTTTTCAAATTATGTAGCAGTGTATAACTAAGAATGCCCTGATTCTGATGGGGAAAAAAACCATTTTGAATGAATATATGCTCAAGCTAACTCTATATGTACTAAAACTTGCAAAAATGTAAGCAACTTCTTAATTTTCTCTTAGTGTATATTTAAAGGCACATTACATGCCACAAAGAAATAAATTTTTACTTCTTTAGAAATGGCAAACATGAATTTCATAATGTTTAAATAACGTTAGATGCATGTTACCTTAACTTTAAAATAGTCAGTCATAAAAGTAGCGTAACATAAACAAAGTAGTATTTTTACTTCAATACAAAATACTAGTTCACTATAACTACTTATTGCAAAAAAAAGCAACAGATGAAAAGATAGTTCAGGTAATTGGCCAAAAGTAACTTTTTGGTTCATCCTATAAAATTAAACAAAAATCAAAAAGCTTTTGAGACATAAAAATAAAAGAATTGTTAAATACGTTAGATATATTCCTGTGATTTCTCAAAAATGATAAAGATTTCCAGTAAGCAGTAAGTTCTATAAATGTGGGCATACTACATTTTAATATCTTCATAAAATAGCTACATGTGTTATATATAAAAGTGAATCTTTTTAAACTTGTTCATTGTGAAATCCTAACTATCTGGCAAACATCTTGAAATAATGTACAGCCATATTAATTGCCTTATGACCACAAGACAGATTTTTTTATCTTGGCAAACAAAAAAGCCCATATAATTATGAATGTTAACACATTAAACTTTTGATTTTAAGCATGTTTCATGGCAGATAAAATAATACATTAAAGTTTTTAAAAAAACTGGACTACATGTACATTCATAGTTTCTTTTGGAGCTTCGTTCTATACTCAGCATCTCATTGGTGGATTCAAATTTAAATTTGACCAATGAAAGAAATTCATTATGATTTTTGAAATTTCTTATAAAATAGTCCTCTAGCAATGATATAACTGTACATTTTTGTCTATCTTTGCCTCGCATCTTGTCTATAGATGTCTATATTAATTCCTCATATATATTTTCCATCACCCCGATATATTCATGATAAACTTCTGATTATGACAGGGTAACACGAACTTACCCCCGGATGTATCACGCCCGAGGTCTCTTCATCTTGTGAATATGTTGATGACCTCCCACTGAAATACAGGAATCATACTGAATAACTGATAGAAAATCTATGTAAAATCGTGGAATTTGTTCTGAAATCTAAGAAAATGTATGTAATAATTAAAAATCTTTGAAAATCGAGAATTTTTTATCAGAACTTTAATAATTAGAAATCTATGTAAAATTAAAGAATTTGTTCAGAAATTAAAGGAAATTTTGGTTATAATCAGAAATCTTTGTAAAGTCGAGGAATTTGTTCACGATTCGAAGAAAAATCAAGGTATTGATTAGAAATTTATGTAATGTTTATTTGCTGTAAATGTTACCTGCTGCTGTTTGACCCTGGAGTTGAAGGTCTCTCCGACCCGAAACTTCTTAAACTCACTTGGGAATTATACTGTGAGCCCTGAAAATAATATTATTATAAAACTTTATATAATATTACCATATTTTATATTACATGCTGATTTCCATTGGTGCAGAGGATCGAATTATTTTCATTTAAAATATCAAGTATATCTGAAATTACACTTTTTGCTTTTAGCAACCCACAGGTTGAGTGCATACTGCAAAGAGTATAAAAATTGCAAAATCATACTCTATGGATACATAAATAAAATATTCCTATCAATGATTATTCAGAGTTAAATTTTCTATCTCTATAGACAAAAATGACAACGTAACTTTTAAATTTAAAAATCCGACATTTTCCAGGCTATTTATATAAAGATATTGTATCTATCAGTAAGATATTTTATAGACAGAATAATATGTTTATAAATAGAATTCTAACATGCTTCACTGATTTCCTCTAACAGATAGGGCAAATTAGTGTATTATTACACAATATATGCATGGCATAAAAAACGAATGCTTATTGTTTGATTTTATTAACCTGTCAATTCCATACTGATTATACGGTCAATGCACAGAATATATTAATATTCGATAAATGTTCGGTAAATTCCGTGAGATGTGCGCAGTAAGATGTGATTAAATTCATCTTGTTATTTTGAATTAGTTACACTGACCGTTATAGTGCAATAGGGTAAACCACTGGTATATTTTATCTGAATGTTCAACGTGTTGTAGGATCGAGACAGAGTATGTCCAGTATTTTTTTTATTCATAACTATTTTCAACATGTTTTTTAAGTTATGGTTGTTCCGTTTTTAATATGTTTTGCACCTTTTTGTAAATACTATACATTTGTATATAACAATGTTTAAGAATTAATACTGAAAATTCATTCCGATTAAAATCAATAAATGTAATTATACAATATAAAATGTGACAATTCAGTGTTTCTTAGTTGGTTCATATCCGTGTAGACAAATTGCAAGCGCTTGACCATTTTCATTAAAATATACTTAAAAATAAAGAAAGAATTAGTCTAAAAAGAATGTCAAAAAAAGGGATCGAACCTCGGACCCCTTATGCATTAGATAATCACTTAACCGACTGTGCTATTGCGGATGTTACAAGAACCTACATTAATCTAGTGAGAGTTTTCCAAACGTAAGTGATACACTCCATATTAATTCTCGTAAAATAAACGGAAAAAACCGAAGTGGGATCGAATATGTAAATGAGTGATATAATGTATTCATAATTGACAGGTCAATAAAATCAGACTATACCTGTGATATGACAACAGATATGATGTATATTAACCAAATGATGTCAGGAAAATTATTTCTATGCTCAACGTAGTTAAACATATTTTAATCTCCCTTTTTTCTATTTTATTTGCATGATAGAATGAAAATAGATATTCTTTTTCTTGCATTATAGTATTATAATGCACGTTTTTTTGTTCAAATGCTTTGTAATTAATCATTCAGACCTACTGGCCTTTGTAATTATATTTCTGCACATTTGAACTCAAACCGTGCATTATTCTACAACAAAGCACTCAAAACTGATATCTATTTTCAAAATAAAACATCCTTTTCACTCCATTATTATATCTCAATCATTATTTTATAGGGGGAGGGGGGGTGGCGGGTTCGAAAAATCGGAAAAAGAAACCGATAAAATTCTTACCAGCTCAGTGACTGTTTTCTTCATTTTTTTGAATTCCGTTTCCAAACTCTCATGTAATGGCCTCAAGGATTCCGGCACAAGACGTCCATGGATCTGCATTCCCGTTTTTAACATTTTCACCTTTAACATGGAAAGAAATATTTCAATACAACAATAAAATCTATTCTGACTTTCACCATATTTTAAAACACAAGATATCAAAAGAGGAGCTGAGGAAAGACTCTAGCATGTTTGGGAGAAAATGAAAATGTGCACTCTATTATAACATATCCATTAAAGATCCTGTAAGTTGTATTTAAGGTTGTTACCGCTTTTAAGTGAAATCTTATAATGTATATGTATATAATTATGCTTCTAAAACAATTTTCAAACATCGAAGAATATGCTTAATAAGTACTGCAAATATTTGTTCTCATTATATGTAATCATTAAAATAAATGCATTCATTTCTTATTGAAAAATTGACTTAAGACTTAATAGAAAATAAATTTCTGATTACCTCCCTTTATTAACATGAAAATGTAAATTCTGTTATATCTTTACAAAAAATGCTTTTTGGAACTTACAATATTGATAAATCTTCATTTGAGCATTATATTTATGATATAAAACCATAAAAAATTGAGTAACAGGATCATTAAGTATCATTTCCATTCACAGCCACCTTCTTCTAAACTAACTTTTTAAACTTATAACTTACAGTATAATTTACAGCCCAAATTCATCTAGATATATTTTTCAATCTTACCTGTTCATGAAGTAAAAACTTCATCTGATCAAGGAATATTGCTTCATCTGGGTGTCTCATCTCAAACTCCTTCGTAAAAAATGCCTGAAATTTAAAATTGTCATATTTTTCACTGTTGTCATTAAACTTCTAAAATCATAAATAGGAGGATCACAAAGACAGGGCAATATCTGCACGAATGTGAATCTGTTTGAGTATTCAAAAATAATCTTTTGATTAAGGAAGAGACCCTATCAAGAAACTTGTCTGAAACATGTATTATCTAAATCATTTTTATAATACAAAGTAATCTCGAGTTGGGGGCATTTTTTACCCTATAGGTGCATGATTCATTAAACTTTCAGAGGTTTACTAGGAAATGCTATGAGCAAAATATACAAGAATTGGGCACAGTAGTTATCTACAAAAAGATAAGATGTGTTTTCCCATATAAGCCTACATTACAAAAATCAAGTAATCCTTAGGGCGGGGCTAATTTTGATCTCAGGAAGCCTAAACCTGTGTCCTGCACATTGTCTCATTATAAGTAATATACCTTTAGTTTAAATTTCCTTCAATCCGTTCCATAGATACATAGCAGACATGAAAGTTTGAAATTCATACAAAATGACTGTGACCTCGACGGGTCAGGTTTTGCAACGTCAATTTCTTTATAAATAATATAATAAGATAATAAAAGATAAATTACTTCTTGATATTTAGCAATTCCACCCTGCACGGATGCTGCAATGTTTCCGTTCAACTTCATTTCCAATTGCGAGAAGAAAAGTTTCGGATTCAGTTGACATCTGGTGATAAGGATTTGAAGTTCACTGTTATTTTGCTTCAGTTGGTCGATCGCCACACGTATCGGACACAACATTTCAATTTCGGTCTCTGTCACTTCGTACCATCTTAAAATACCCGGAAACTTGTATGTTGTCTTCATCTTGGAACGCTCAATACACAATGTCTATAAAAAAATAATAATTATACAAAAAATACAATATAAATAGAGGATATTGAGTGAGTGGAGGTTTTATATCAAATTTATTGAACGAGTTGAATAAGATCATATTAGGTGAGCCCTGGTGAGCAAAATATTGTTTTATTCAAAGAGTTCAATAAATTTAGTATTGAATCTACACAAATAAGAGATTCTATTTATCACACATATAAAATAAGAACAGTAAACTGGTAAAAAGTGTCATTTTTCAATGACGCGCCAAAAGTATAATGTTAACATTAGCGCGCTTTAAAATGCTATGTTTACATACAGCGCAAATGACGTTACATCAAAGTGTTATTACACTAGTGTAATATCATTTTTATTAAATGGCTTTATAACACTCCTGCGCCGCGGTTTATGTGATAAAAGAATTTTGTTTTTTAAATTCTCTGAAATTTTATAGAGTAGCTTGTCCATATGATCATAGACTTCACCTTTTCCACACTAAAAATCTTAAATAAACTTGTCCACCTTTCAAATCTATATTCCCCCTTCCCCACTGAGTTTTTCATCACACCAACAAAGTATAGGTCAAATGATGATGTCTTTCCAGCTTTACTGGTTGAGAAAAACCTCAGGCGCCCTTCAGTGCATTATTCCAGGCATGAACAGGCACCTTAGTAAAACGGTCTCTGCTAGCTTTCAAAGGAAACAATCCATAGTCCCTGTCATGGTTTGAACCCACAACAGTGATGGGTAAGTGGTTAAGTCAACAACCTTAACCACTTGGCCACTCCCCTGAAAGAAGTTGGCATATAAAAAACCCAATCATCAAAAAGAGAAGAAAAGGAATACCTTGCTTTCATTATTGTTATCTTTGGTTCCTCTGTGGTATGGTCTATCATACTGGAATGTATCAACTTCGTTATAATTGTAGAAGTTACGAATCTCTGCTGGCACCTCTTTACCATGAAACTCTGGCCGATCTTGAGGTATAGGCTTCACTGAACAAATCTGTATATCTATTCTAGTGGTTAAGGTTTAAACAAAGATACAAATTAAACTTTCTTCTTAAAGGCACATTATGACCAATAAATGCTTTCAAAACCTGTTTTATTTTAGGCAATTCTTTTTTTCCCCAACAAGTCACTCATTGGCCAATTACCTAAACTGTTTTCTTCTTCTGTTGCTTTTTGGCAATTAGTACATTTATAGTGATTTAGTATTTTGTATGGAAGACAAATACTGTTTAGTTCACATTACAGCTTTTATGTCATATCATTTTACATTGGCACTATTTTATTCAGGTTACAAGCATCTAACATTCTTTAAAACCATAATTTTAACTTAATTAAACTCATGTTTGACCTTTCTAAAGAATTAAATATTTATCTATTTCTGAGGCATAATATGCCTTTAATCTATATTCACTTTGGTTCATAACTCAGCAACTTTGATCAGGAAAGTAAGTGACCCCTTTTTTTAAATTATCACCTTGATTGCTTAACAAAAATTTAAATATTGGGTATTAAGTTTCCATTCCAAAAATAAATTTGTAGAGTATCATAAAGTATTTGAATCAATCTTGGTTTAGGTGCATCAAATTTTTAAATATAAATGGAGATAAATAAGATATTGCACAAGATCTGTGATTAAGTGTTAGAGTTATCCCTCAAACCAGTATACCATTAACTTGTGTGCAAAATTTCACTCTCTTTTTTCAGAATAACTATTTATGAAAATCATTACCATGCTTTTAATTAAAATCTGGATAAGAATCTCATTTAACATCAATTTTTAATTCAATTCTGAGTATATTTCTTTATTATCTTTTTCATATTTTTCATGTTTTAATTGCCCCATTTGATTTATACAGAATTTTTTTTAGTTTGATTGTGTAGGAAGCTATCAGCTTAAAAACACACTTTTGAATCTGTTCCTGGAACCAACCAGTATGGAGCAATAAGTGAAAAGTTTCTTGCTCAAGAAAACAACGACTTGCCACATGACATGGTTCAAACCCATATGACTAGCAATCATTAGATTACTAGACCAACTCGCTATTCAGCCATTCAGCCATGTCGCCACTGGTGCCCCTTTTTGATTTGTGTAAAGTTTTCAACATGTTTATAGGCTTTTGATCCTCAGAGGAGCTCCTGTAAGCGAGATATTAAAATAACACATAGCATCCATTAAGGTCAAGGATACATTGCTGGTCTCCGTTCATGACATCATCAGTAGGCGGGTCATTTTTGGACATGATCTGAGCAGACGGGAATTCAGCCGTCAGATGGTTCATGATCGTCGCCAACTTCAGACACTCGTCGCCACGATATATAAACTGCTTATTCTGTAAAATATACATGATTATAAATTAAAATATCTGGTTTTAAATATTTACAAGTGCTTTTTTGTTCTAAATGATTGAAGATTTAATCTATTGTTCGCATTTCTGTTTATGTAAATAAAATTGAAATAAGGATTCTATAATAACATGTTTACCTTTTAATTCTGCTTAATTTATAAACGTCTTATATAATTACTTTTTTTTAACTGCCAATATTTTTGAACAATAGCTCCATGGGTTATGTGGATTATTTATTTTTGCATAATAAAATATAAAATGGAACACAATTATGGTAAAATTAAAAGTTATTTTGACTTTTACCTATGCAACCTCCATTTACAATTGGAAAAGCATAATGTAACTTTAATTAGGTATACTGAAAAAAAAATCATGATACAGTAATATTGTTTTCATTGTTGACAGGTATAAGCACATTTGTCTGAATATTATACACCATATGTTACTCACCCTAACAAATGCCGGAAAACTCTGACCATAATATGACACTCTATAGTAAGAGGGGTCCTGACGGGGGTAGAATGTTTGTTCCCCTTGCTCTTCCCCTGGTACCCCCTCCAAAATCTTGCCATAAAATGATGCCTGCTGCTTCTGTTGAACAAAAGAAAAAAACATTATTGAACATCTAATTTTCTAATGAAATCGACCCATTCTGAATTTTTTCAACATTTGAAAATATTTGTTCATTGTTAACCGCACATTATGACATATTTTGTTTGGAACCATTTTGACTTAAATCATATACAGTAAACTCCACTTATAACAATATTGCTTATAATGGTATACAGCTAATGAAGTTGCTGTTGCTGCAGTCCCTACTCTTGTTTTCAAATTGGCTGCCTTTTGGATATAACGATACCGGATACAATGATATAAATTCGGCCGGCCCCTGAATAGGTGGAGTTTACTTAACATATATTGCTACAATGAATCAAGTTAAGAATGAATTACATAATTTATAGCATACAATTATGACAAGAAATAACAGACATTGTATCAATCTAGAACCTCTATTAATAATTATACTATATGCAATAAAAGCCATGTATCAAACCCGTAACCTGCAGGAACAGGAAGTGATTAGCCATTGCCATCAGTGTACAGCCCGCCCAGCCTGCACATCCAAACACATCAATGCGGTCTGATCAGCCTCTATATTGTAAGTAGCTCAATCTTTTTAGCTTGGTATTAAAATCCCTAAAACTGAATGGACTGTCCCAAATTTCAAGCTTGACTAATCTATTACACCATGCCAGCAGGTTAAAGGTCAATATGCCCAACCTGAACACGAGACAAGTGATCCACAATCCTTTATTAACAACCACTTGGGCAACACCCTACTGCCAATTAATTAATTGTAAGAACAGCCACTTCTGCTTTTAAATTTTCCTGATACTAATTAAGTATAAGGTGTTCCTTTCATTTGTGAACTGGTTGAACTCTTAAATAAGTTTACAATAACTTCTGGAGAAATCTGGGGTATTTATTATTTGCTGCATCTTTTGCATTGCATGTAAAACAAATAAACAAATTAATTAGTGCGTTAGCTAAACTGCACCAGGAAACAACTCAGCCTGAAGTATGGAGTCATTTCCTAACAATTTGCAGTCAAGGACATGCAAAACTGTTCAGATTAGTCATCATATTGCCTTATAAGGCAATGCCAAACGACGTCAAAGTGAACTGTAACTACAAAACCATTTTAAGAATTGTTACATTTCGGCATTGAATTCAAATGTATACATGTACCGACTTTATTTTTGTCAAGTTCTACATCTATTTGATGGCAGTCAAAATTTCTAAAAGTCATATTCTTTGGTAAATAAAAATCATAGAGACTACTTGATCCATTATGTCCATATTTTCTTTTCCCATCATTTTACCAATTTTTATTTATGGACAGTACTTCCATTACATTTATGGAAAGGATTCAAAGTTCCTATTTACTCAATGACAGACCAGTACATAAACATTTTTTATTATTATTATTTTTTTTTTTTTGGGGGGGGGGGGGTGAATTTTATGTCACATCAACACTGTAAAAGGTCATATGGTGATTTTAACTTTACTTGATGAGGCAGGCTTCAAGTGCCCTTCTAAGCATTTCAGGCACAGTAAAATATTCAAAATTATACACCAACAATACATATTGTGAGTAACAGTAAAATTGGTCAATATCTTTCCATATTGACTTCATGAAATGTTCATAAGTGACATAACAATTTACCAGTATATCACCAAGTTTCTTGTAATCAAGGTTCCGCTCATAGTATTCTGCTAGGTCCTTACACAGTGGCAGGGCATATTCCCAAACCTGAAATCATAAATGTAAATATAAATATCCGGTGCAATATCAAGACATACAAGTACTGTATCCAAGGGCACCATCCTTAAATATTCCATAACCTGAAATAATATAGTAAATGTTAATAGAGGTGCGATAACAGTGCTTTCCTAGGAGAGCATGCTTAAATATTCCATAACCTGAAATCATAAATATAGTAAATGTAAATATAGGTGCAATAACAGTGATATCCTAGGACAGCATGCTTAAATATTCCATAACCTGAAATTATATAGTAAATGTAAATATGGGTGTGATATCAGTGATATCCTAGGACAGCATGCTTAAATATTCCATAACCTGAAATTATATAGTAAATGTAAATATAATCGCATTAACAGTGCTTTCCTAGGACAGCATGCTTTAATATTCCATAACCTGAAATCATATTGTAAATGTAAATATAGGTGCAATAACAGTGATATCCTAGGACAGCATGCTTAAATATACCATAACCTGAAATCATATAGTAAATGTAAATATAGGTGCAATAACAGTGATATCCTAGGACAGCATGCTTTAATATTCCATAACCTGAAATCATATAGTAAATGTAAATATAGGTGCAATAACAGTGATATCCTAGGACAGCATGCTTTAATATTCCATAACCTAAAATCATATAGTAAATGTTAATATAGGTGCAATAACAGTGCTTTCCTAGGACATGAACCTGAAATTATATATAGGTGAGAAAACAAGAAATGATCTAGATAGCAATAATTGTGACAACGTCCTCCAATATTTCATAACCTGAACTCATATTAAATGTAAATACGGCTGTTTTTAAGAGGTATCCATTGACAGCTTCCTCACTTATTCCGAACCTGTAGACAAATTTAATGTATATATAGGGCTTTAAAAAAATTGGATGAAGACTTTTCAAACATAACTATAATGTCAGTATATACAATATACTTGTCTATGTTGTAATTAATATTTTTAATGTTAAGAATAATCAAAACTTGTAGGTTTTCTTGATGTTGTTTTTGTCTCCTGTTATAAAACCAGTATTACTTTAACTCAGAAATGATTTTATTTCTATTTCTAAAAAAATCTTTTTTTTTTATTTTTGGGGTAAATGCACTTTCACAGTTTCCTAAAACTTCCAAATTGGCAAATTACCTGAACCATCTTTTTATGTTGCTACTTTGCTCAAGATTGCAAAGATCAGACTAGCTGATTCAATTATTGCAATAATCTATAATCTTTCATTTTCCCCGATTCTGAGAAAAACATTGCAAAAATTCCTAATCTAATGTGTATTAAATACTAAAGAAAATAAAAAAACAGCCTAGCCATCAGTTTACAGAAAAAAAAAATTACTTACATTACCATAAGGTATGCTAAATAATAATCTTAATCGGCTAGCCAATATTTCTATCTAGACAAAACCATTCATTTTTAAGAAAAATTTCAAAGTATAAAAAAAAAGTATGTCCTGCCTGAATAGCTAACAGTACAGTCTGCACAGAACATTGGCAGACGGCACAGATGTGCTGGTTGATCTTGGTCTGCACTGGTTGCATGGGCAGATTCAATGACTGTCAGCATGCTATAGGTTAAAGAAATTTAATTCTTAATTCCAGAGGATACTCACTTTTCCTTTATCGAAACAGTTGACTATTTGTGTGTACAGCATTTCTTTCCTATCCCGCTCTCTCTCCTGTTTATATTTCATCTCCTCCGGCAGTAAGTTGTCACTCCATGTGAGAATCTTTGCGTACAACTGCAGCGTGAGCCCGGCTTCGGCATGGTTGCCAGCAACCATGTGCAAATCATGCAGCTTGTTGACATATTTGATGTACATTTCTTCTCTATTGATCTCATCTTTGTAGAAATTCTAGAAACAAAAAAAACCATAAAAATCGTAAGTTTTTAATATATGCTAAATCGTTTACAGCTTCCCAACTAAATTTTGTGTTATTGACTTCTCACGCATTAAATTTAGTCGAACAGCCTGCTGTAAAAAAGGGAGTTTTAAAAAACGAAATGTTAAAATGAATACATACTCTACTGAATTCATGTAAGGTCTTGTCCTTATTTAAATATTAACTGGATATATATTTGAACCCTTAACCTGCTGAACCCAAAAGGGACTTGCCTTTACAACCAGTATAGAGCCAGGCCAGTCTGCACATCCATGCTTTCTGATCAGGCTCAATACTGTTGGTAGCTCAATACTCTTAACTTAAACTGAACAACTCAAAATTTTCATCATATTGACCTTGACATTTCATCATGGACTGTTCCAAAACTGGAAAAGTCTACTCAAAGAAATTAACAGAATAAAAGCTTAGTATATGTTAATGAAAATGATAAGAAATGGAAATGATGAACTTAATCGCTGGACAGGAAGGACAAAGTGGTTCCTGTACTTAAATTAAACTCAACTAAACAGAAAAACTTGCTCTTATATAGATAAAATAAAGTAATTCTGAATAACTAAGGACAGTAACTGTTTATGTCACAAGAAATTCCTGATATTATTTTATAGAAATTTATATTTTCTAAAAACTTACAAGTATGTTAAATGTACAGTGCATACGCTTGTCCCTATTCTCTTCTCCATCTACAACTTGTCTGAAAATATAAAAATATAAAATATCATATTTCTACTGTTTCTTCATTTAAACATTGTGGACTACCTTTAAACCCTTTTTAAATTAGGGAATGACTTTATTGGCCTTCCCATTGTTAATTTAAAGGATCCACAGGATAAAAATTCTTAAATTAAGCAGATGATTGCAGTAAATTCTGCTGGCTGGCCAAGTTGGCTCTATATGGGAAACAACTACAGTCAGAACTTATGGAGCGCTAAAAGGTAAACTGACCCTCTGATTAAAATGAATTTTTTTTTTTTCTGTAGATAAGACAAACATGTATTGAAACATGTATTGAAATTATAACATTGTAATAATGGGTTTAGAACTTGTAAGATGCTAAAAAAATTATCACCTAAAAAAATAGTGCTGTATTTTAAATAAATTGTAGCAATGGTAGAAAATGTTAAAAAAGTGGTATTTCAACTTTCATAAAAAGTATTAAATGATTATATCTGCACTCATTGCAAAAACTCAAAAATACTGGAAAATGATTTTATAAGCTATTGAGTATGGTTTAATATAAGATATTTTCTCATCAAATACATTTTTTCTTGAAATACAATATATTTTGCTTTTATAAGAACTTTTTTGTGGCTAAAAAATATATCATACAACAGAGTATCACTGACGCATAAAACTTCAATCCAATTATCAAAAAAAATTATACAGAAAATGAAGTTCAGTGTTACGGTAACAAAACCATTTGAATGTCATAATTTCTCTGTAGGAAACCAATCAAACTTATCACGGAGGCGAGCTGGCATCCGGCCCACGGCACGAGAACTCTCACAATATATATATAGCCTGTTTCACATCACCTTTCACTTCATTAATGAATTGTTTACATTCGTGATTTATTTGTGGTGATTTATTTGTCTGCCTCCTATTTTTCTGAGATATACAATAAGAGAAGATCTGAAGGGTTCTTTTCTGCAAAAAATCTCTTTATTTATATTATTATATCGGTTAAAGTATGGGGAAATGCCCATCACCGACCTTCAAATTTTTTCTAAGTACGAAAATATCATAATAAACCTCAAGATTCCTTACCGAAAGATGTTTTAATGTTTACAAGATGTAAGACTTGTCAATATCAAGTAAGTTTAACAGGATATAAGAAAACTGATCGAACTTTAAATCTTACCGAAGCATGGCCCTGTATGCTTTCTGAGTGACCATACTGCGACAGAACGGCTTTACAACACCCATCTTTAGTTATTTATTTGTTAATCTCCACAAACGTTTTTTAAAAATCTCTTTTAATAGTTTCAATTGAATACTATAATATTTTTTCAACAAAAATTAAAACACAATCTATACTTTGTACTTCTGAATGTCTTTTTACAATTAATTCCAAATCATAACAGTGAGTAATATTTCAGTATTTAATAATTAAATCCAACATTTCTTTTATAATACAGTTCCGACAATAGAATAAAAGGCATCTTATTTATACTATCAGCCTGCTACGTTCTTAACTAACTTCCAAAATCATAATGTTTTTGAATCATATTTGTCAAGCAGTGTTTCATAATCGGTACTCAAGGCCCCCTCCGCCCAGCTTCAAACCAATTATATTCCAAGACTCTGATTGCTATCAAATAACATGTGCAAGTGGTACAGGATGTAAGCAATAGACCAGATTTTAATAATTTCCTCTATTACAAACACTGTTATGAAAATTCGGCACATTAAAACACCATATCAGGCTGTTATGTGGTTCAGAGGTTTTTCATGTTTTGACGTTAACTTTTTTGCTCCTTTTGCTTTTTTTGATCTCTTTCGTAACATGTTGGCTGCACAAGGCTACTGCACTTTAAAGCTGCATTTATTATTTGAGTAGCTTAATACTTTTGACATTATTTTCATTACTTTAACTCTTAGTACATACACTTCATAGAAAACTTAAAAGTCTACAATCCAATTTCTTTTCTTTAGGATTTTGACAACCAACTTTACTTTATACGGAGAGAACTGGATTTATAATCAAGAGGTTGCTGGTTTGATCCTTGGATGAGACGAAAAATTACGTGACACCGCTGTTTCAGAAAGCATGTAGGATAATAGTAGAAGGTTGGTTTGCCGAGAAATTGGAAATAACTGGTTAGTTATCCAGTAAAGTCAGGGTAAGGTGAACTACCAGCTGAGGTATGACCAAAAATAAGTTAAAATCGGCATTAAAAATAAACAAACAATTTTTCATGATTTTGAGTCTAAATCAACCAACTTGCGTAACTTTTCTACTCTTAATTATGATCTGTTTCCTGATTAACTTGACTGTTCACAAACCTGGTCATATGTTTCACTTTGATTGCATGTTACAGTAAATTAAATGATATTCTTTAATACCAGTGCAATTATTTGGATTAAAAAAAATCTACACATAATTTATTCAGGCAGAAGAAAGCTTATTATACTGTCAATATGTTGACAAGTTGTGTGCATTAGTAAATTAATTTATTGACAGCTGTCAAATCCTTATGATGCATATTTTAGATTAATTTCATTAATTTACAAATACAAAATCCAATATATAGCAAGATTTTTACTATGAATATCCATATCTTAGCTTGTGCAACTTTTAACTGAGTATCCTTGTGTCTTAAACAGTGGGTGGTAGAAGATTCATTTTATCCCTGTTTAGAGAATTCTTACCCAATTTTTTTTCCAGTCTTATACATAATATGAGCCGCGTCACGACACCAAAACCGCAACATAGTTGCGATTTGCGCAACAGAGCATCGGATACCAGATCCAGGCTGTCAGCAATGTGCCGCGCAAGTTATCTGATTCAAGGATACCATGCTGAATTTTTTCGGCTTTGTTTACTGACTACTAAATCTGCCCATACAACCAGTGCAGACCAAGATCAACCAGTAGACCTGTGTCGTCTGCTCAAGATGATCTACATAAGTTTATACAGAATTTATTTTAGTTTAATTGTGTAGCAAGCTATAAGCTTATAGACACACTCTTGAATCCAACCAGTACTGACTGAACAATGAGTGTAAAGTTTCTTGCTCAAGGAAACAATGGCTCGCCCCTGACAGGGTATGAACCCATGCAGACAGTGATCCTTAGATTACTGGTTCAACCCATTAACCACTTAGCCATGCCGCCACTCATGATCTTCAGTCACTTCTTTATTCATAAACTTTTTTCCTTAATGAATGTTTTTTTGTCAAGATTGAAAGATGGACAAATACATTTAAGATATTTAGTGTAGAGATGGTCAAACAATATTAATGAATGAAAAGACAATGACATGCATGCAAGAGTTCTCTGCTTGAAATTTACTATTATCAGAATGATGTTGTATATTCAACAGTACTGCAATTTACATTAACTTCTTCTCAAGATTTTTTAGCTGATAAAAATTCAGAAATTGTCTCTGTAAAGTTCAGTATTTGCTTAATATACTTTGTAGATATTAAAACAATGCGATGAGTCATGCAATTACAAATATATATAGATACAATAAATTATTTCAAATTACTCCCAAAATTAACAATACTAATGTGTACACAGTCTGTGAATTTTGAAAATAGGCTTAAAGATGATTTTCAGCACTGATCAAGTAATATTATACCTTTTTTTGTTATTATTTATTTCATGGTCTGATGAGGTCATAAATAAATAAGATATTATGGTCAGATGGGTTCATACAAGGTAAGGTAGCATGACCAGATGGCTTCATATACTTAGTTAAAGATATCATAGCCAGATGAGTATAAATCATCACCTTAGTGCAGAAATGGGTTAACTCCTATTAAATTATATAAGAAGTTAACCTGTTACTGCACTAAGGGGATGAAATGGCTATTGAACTTTATTTTTCTTTTTAACTTTATCCCAAATATCTGATATATCAGTAAGTTTTTTGTTGATTTTTTTTTAATGAATAAATGTCTTCTTTTATCTGATGCAGATTATTATATTTATATAGATACAATGCCATGGATGTAACCCTTGATTGATCACATCAGATATCTACACCTAATGATCAAGCTGTTCTTGTTGTAAAATTATTTATTTTTTTTATTTTTTTTTGAATGCTATTTTCTTTAAATCTAAACCTTTTAACAGACAATTAAGAAAAGAAATGCATTTTATATCATAGTTTGTTGATATCATAGTAATTAACTCAATGATAACAATTTACCATATGAAATTACTACTCTTTTGCAATAGCTCTATTATAAAATTCTGCTTTTTAATTTCAGTAGAAAAATTAAAGGGGCTCCATTGAGGTCAAAAAGCCTAAAAACATAAAATTTGAAAGTCTTACATAGTACATACTAGATAAAGTGAAGAATTTAAAATGAAAAATATACAAAAGAAAATAAAGAAATGTATGCAAAACAAAATTAAATTGAATATTGTTTTTAAAAGGATTCTAGGCCCGACTGTAAGGAAAAAGGTAGCAAATCTTTTCATTTTTTCCTCATTTTGCACAATAAAAAAGATTTTTCTGGAAAAAAAGATGTGGAGGATAATTCTAAAAACTTGCATACAAGTTATTGATCTGGACAGTTCACACATCTTCTAATAATATTTTCTTTTCTATTTTCATTTCAGTGGAGTATTAAAATGCATTAAATAGTATATATACAAACTTATTAAATAGTATATATACAAACTTATATAAAAAAATTGCACTATATGCACAAACTTAATACATAAAGGAAATGGATGAAAACAAAAGCAGAAAAAAAAACATGAAAACAAATGTCAAGAGCAACATTTTCCAACTGGCCCTTTTTTCATCAACTTTTAATATATCATCTACTTTTAATATTTCACTAAAAGAAGTAAACCCCTAACATTTTCAGTGAGAACAGCTGCACTAAATATATGGTACCACTTGAAAACAACTCTGGGAGATTTTTTTTCCTGTATTTTCACAACAGGAAGCAGTTACACTATGTTATGACAACAATTAATTAACAGAGAAAAAAACTTCCGAAATTCCTTGCTAACAAGGCAACTTAACTGTAAAATTCTCATTTCTTTCGGAAAATCACTCAATTACAGAAAAAATTGGGTTCAAATTGTTTCAAAACTCCCAGATAATCTGCCAATTATCTGTTTCAGAGATAAATGTTTGGATTTTTTTTTTTTGGTATGAAGTATGAAGAGTTTTTCTTTGTGTTTGTTCCATTCTTTTTTCAGACTTTTTTCACTGAGATCTACTTCTATTTAAATGAAGATATTTTGATCGAGAGAGGTTAAAGATAAAAAAACACCTCCAAATATCTTCACATTTTCATAAATTTTCACATTTTAACAAAGTTTAAATTATGATATCAAAATATCAGGTTTTTGATATCTAACTTTTTGTATATTTTGAGACCCAAATTGTGATATCTAAATATCAGTACTTAGATTACTTTATTTTGAATCAAATTTTTAATACTGCAATTTGCGTACTATTTTTTATTACTTTTTTTAAATAAAAGTTTGTTATATCCTGAAACATAAATTTCAGTTTTTTGATTTCTCATTTTAGTACTTTGATATCTAAATTTTAGTACTTTGATATCTAAATTTTTGTACTTTGATATCTATATTTTAGTACTTTGATATCTAAATTTTAGTACTTTGATATCTAAATTTTAGTACTTTGATATCTATATTTTAGTACTTTGATATCTAAATTATTGTACTTTGATATCTATATTTTAGTACTTTGATATCTATATTTTAGTACTTTGATATCTAAATTTTAGTACTTTGATATCTAAATTCTAGTATCATAATCCAGTACATTTATATTTAAGTTACAGGGCAATTTTCTATTGGGGCAATCAAGCTACAGACAAATTTTAGTCAAAATCCATATGGAAAACCATCATTGAGCTTAACTATGTAACAAAGCTGTTGAACATCATTTACCCTGAGAAAAGTAATAAATTTTGGGGAGAAGGATGGGTCAATTTTATGGTCAATGTATCTAACATCCAAGTGTCAAAACTTAATATTACATTATCACAATGTGTTATATAGTTTATTGTATACTTTGTTTGCAGGTAAATATGTAATCAAGGTGATAAAGTAAACATGTAACAGGAGGATGGTGTTTGAAAAGTTTAAAGGATTATAAACATTAAAAGTAAATAACTGAATATGTAATGTACATAAAACTGGACAATGCTGTGTCATCAGATATGATCCAATCGCCCTTCAGCATTTCCTTTATATATTGAAAATAAACAAACAAGAGTCCAGGCAAGTGTGCTTATCTGATCTTATTTTTATTTCCAAACAAGAGCCACCGCAACGCTCCACATTTTTTACTTTTTCTAAAAGCAAACAAATAAACGGTTAAAACAAATCTTAAGGAAAAAAGTTATGTTTTCCTTTCTATAATTTTATATTACAGAAGAAAATATATATATATTAAAAAAAAAAAAAGTCGAGCTAAAAAGTCTTATTATTATTTCCAAAAAAAACATTATTTTTATTTCAACAAAAGCCTTTATTGTAGAAGATAATCTGAGCTAAATCTAGCAATTTATTTCCATCATTCTTTTTGTTTACAATCCTAACCACCCTGAATTTGTGTAATGGACTTGTCTTTCTTTCAATATGGATTAGTCCATTGTTTATGTAAAGGGATTTTGATGTGAGTCTTGTCAGGTACTCCCTATTGTTTACAAGGTGAGGAAAAAAGTTCAGACTGACCCGAGAGCCTTGGAATACCATTTTTCTCACCCTTTACACTAGCATTTCTAAATTTGTGCTTGCACTCTTAACATTTAAAGACTATAAATCTATATCTTTTGAAATACTTTTGTAACATTTATCAACAGTAAAATTATATTGGTTCCATTATTATATGGTTGACTCCTGAAAAAGTTGTAGCATAGAATGTTTCTGTTATTTAATATACATGAATAGTGTACATAGACAGAATAAAATGTTCTGGAACAAAATATTATTTCGCTATTTTAAGTAGGGTTTTATCCGTTTGGCAATGATTTTATGCATGGGCCACTGGCTTTAAGGCAATTAATTACCATATGTATTTCATACAAGCATTTTGGCAGTGTTCTTTTTTAAAATCACAACAATATATTTTGTATCAGATATATAACTTTACACACGTGGCTGAGTGGTTAAGGTCATTGACTTCAAACAACTTGCCCCTCACTGCTGTGGGTTCGAATCCCAATAGGGACTTTAGATTCTTTCATGTGAGGAAGCTATCCAGCTAGCTTACAGAACGTCAGTGGTTCTACTCAGGTTCCCGTTCGTGCCTGAAATAATGCACGGAAGGGCACCTGAAGTCTTCCTTTGGAATTTGGGCAAAGGCTAATCACTAAAATTTGTTTGGTAAATATGGCAAATTCATTTCCAACAAAAAAATAAATTTTATAGTTTTCTCTATAATTCATTTATCAGTTTAGCTTTTTTAATTGGGTGGAAAATTAATATAAAAACAAACTAAGAATTTTGATAGATCTGCTTAACTAATTGAGACATTTTTTATGACATTTCACTTCAAAGAGGAACTATTACTTTAAACATCATTTCTTCCAACATATAATTACTTTTCCGATGTACTTTTTTTTCACTCTAGTATCTGAAGCACCTGGAAGTACATTTTCCCACCATTTTTCACATCCATTCAATTCAAGAACAAAATGAAAAAAGATAGATTTCAACTTTTATTGGCAGGACCTCCTGTGCTACTTAAGATTTTGACGCTCACTAAGTATTATTGCATTTTGTTTTACAACGTTGGGGTCTAATTGGAAATTTTACATTGATGCTCTTTGTTATTTAATAAGTTTGATGCTCTTTGTTTCTAAATAGTTTAAACAGAGGTGGTTTGTTTGTTTTTTGTTTGTTTCCGGTTCTACAACTATTTTAACACATGTTTGTGGTCATATCTCAGGGGCGGCAAGGTTTCCATTCATATCCCAAAATTTGGAAGTCAGAGACTGCAAAATGTCTAACATTGGAAATCACATTATACAGGTAGTCACAAGTCGAAATCAGGAGTAAATGACTCCCAAACTTCCACTTATGGGGCGGTAGATGCACATAACCAGTTAACCTGGATAACTAACAAGTATTTACCGACTTCTTGGCAAGTGACAGACTAATATGAGACAAATGACCATAAGTCTCAATGTCAGAATCAACTGTCACAGAAAATAATCCACCCACAGTCCCCCCAACCCACATCCAAAGTTTGTTGATGTTGTTTTCCAAAGATAAATTATTATTTTTATTGATGGCATGCAGACAAACGTTAAATAATTTATAACATTTTTTTCAATTAAAGATCATAATTTATGTGAAGTCAAATTTATTGTTATTCATTTGCATTATGATTAATTTAAAACATAATGAATAGCTTTGGCAAGTTACAATATGCCAGTAAAGTCCCAAAGTCTGTTACATGCACATTCTGACCAATATATACTGCTGTATTGAAAAATAATCATCTAGAAATCCCAGTTTTAAATACCCCAAAATTCAAAACATTTAAGACAAACTACACAGGAAAATGGTCAATTTTAATCTCCTTTTATCTCCTTTATTCATGGAAACTTTCAAGAGATTTTTCCTCATTCTATCTTATCAGAGACCAATAAATAAGTTCAAGAAATTACCCTTGACATATTTTAATTAAAAACTTCCTCAAGGGAAATTCTTAGGAATGTAAGCCATTTATTGAGCAGTTCTGTTTTTCCTTTGACTACCCAGAAATCTCAAATTCATTGTCAATTATATCTTAGCAAGGTTGATGGATGAGAGAGCTACAATTACCTTATAAATCACAATCAACATTTCAATTACGTAAGAAATCACAAACAATTTTTCATATGGTAGTTTCCTTTAATCATATTTTAAATCCTTCATAACATATATCTTTAAGATGTAAAGATGTTTTTTTGGTCCATCAATTTTTTACTTTTGAAAATTGTTTAGTGGTGTCAATTTTTTTCTCAATATTTAAGTTTAAGATGTTTTTTTGTTTTTTTTGTGAAGTAGCAAACACAGCAAAGTAATTCTCCAGTCATTCTTAATTATCTCCTGACCCCTACCCACTTATGGTATTACGGCACAATATGACTGCTGAATTTTTTAAAACCCTTGTAAAGTCACTGCCAGGCAAAATCTATAGATGGTAAAAAAAAAAAAACACACTAAAAGATTCTGCTTCTACCAACCCCCATCTTCCCCCCCCCCCACGATCCTGAACAGTAGTGAGAGCCCCCGATCCTGAACAGTAGTGAGAGTTAGAGATTCTATTAATATTTTGGTTAAAGGTACAAGAATAATGCCTTCAAATTTACCTGGCACTGTGCAGAAACAGGCAATAAATATATATTTTGATAATATCACCATCTGTCCTCTTAGCCAGTTGGTAGAGCGTTGGACTGTGAATTGAGTGAAGCAAGTTAGATTCCCGAACAGCGCAGTTTTGTATTGATTATATTGATCATGAAACCCTTTCTACAGTCATTCACACTGTACCTAGTATGGGTAAAGTGCTTGACAGTCTACCCAGGAACAATGCGGTGGCTGAACTGTGCTCTGGTAAATTCAATGTGGCTTACAGCCATGTTCCGGAGTGAAAACTACCAACACCACCAACACCTGTCCTCAGTGCACCCATAGGGGACTTGAGGTTAATTTATCATAGACTAGTGCACACACACATTTTTTCGTTTTTTTCTTCAGGTAACAATATCACTATTTTGTTGACAGGGGTTATTTTTGTAATTGAAAATTATATATTATATTATAATTTTAATCAAAATAGAAAATTACACATATTCTCAATAATTTTACTCAAAATGGGAAATCAATATGTTGGCCTTAAAAAAAAAAATATTTTCTATGTTTACATACTTTTAAGTGGTCTTTAAACAAAGGTTTTGTGTATATAAAGAACTCACCTGTAATCAAGCAGCCTCTCGAGAAGGTGTGTTACTGAGATGATGAACTGCGTCCCGTTTTCATGAAGGGCAGGCTCCGAATGTACTCTTTCCAACAATCTGGAGAAAAATTTCATTGTTCTCAATTAATTCATCACAGATTTTTACAAATTTTCGATATATTTTTTTTAATCTTAAAACTCTTTTGTGGTTATTATTGTACCACTGTCTCTATTCTTTACATTGTTAATAAAAATTGTTTAGAATCTTTGTTCGTCCCAAGATTTTCTTTCAGTTAATCATTATATCATATTGATTGATATAAGTTTTTTTTTCACTATTCGTTAATCAATATCACATCAAATATTCACTAAAAATATTCATAATATTTGAATTGTCCACATGCAGTCTTTGTTACTGAGACAATATCTTGTTTCATTAATCTGTTCCATTAACTCATTAACATCCTTTTTTTTCTATTTCACATTAAAATTTTCACTCAAAATCGAACACATAGTTTTTTTTGTTTGTTTTTTTTTTCTCAAAATTTTCTTAGAAATAATTTCAACACTGCGCATTAATAATTATTTGCATCATTTCATGCAGATTTATTTGCACATATGTGTCAGATATTCCGTTTATCCCCACAATCTGTCTCCAATAATCTCCAACATCTGCCAGCAATTTATTCACTTTTGCACAAAAATAAATCAATTAATAAAACAATGTTCCACAAATCACTGTCAATCAAATAATCGCTTATTTTTTAATACATTCCATGCACAGAGCGGTTGTTTTTACCAGCCTAAATTAACTTTGCATCAATTTTTACTAGCTTATCTTGTCTTTTTGTACGAAAAATAACTGATGCATTTAGTACTTGCTACACCTTAATTCCAATACCAACTGAAAGCTATCCAGCTCTTCTTTTCTGCTTTTACTATCTCTCCGCACTTTTAACCAATCCAATCCGCCATCTTTTAAAATTTATGGCATCTTGGCATCAATAAATTCTGACAAATATTAACCTCAGCCAGAGTAAGTGAAGTCAACACAATTTCTTTTTCTCCAGGACTGATGGTAAACAACACTTTTAATCTTTATAAAAATTACACAATGTTGCTATAATGTGAACTTCAATTTGTGATCAATTCATATTAAAACTCCAAACAGGACATTGATGTGGTCAACATATACTGATACTATTTTCTAAATTTTACATATCTATTTAATCCAAAGTCCAAATGATCCGGCCAATTTTGTAGACCTAGAGTTTTTCAAACAAACAGAGGTCAATCAATTTTAAGAGGACACATTGGTCAGTATTTCTCACAAAAATGATGAAACCAACTGACCGACCAATTCTTCACAACTTTCATGAACATAAAATTAAATTATCATTTCACTTCAAATTTTATATTTCTGAGCCAGCTTGGACCAACTCATCAAATTTTTATGAACATAAAATTAAATTAACATTTAAAATTCCCTTCTGAATGGACCACAGTAAATTTAATCCATAATCCACTATAACTTCCACTTTGTTCTTCTATAGAGAATCAACACAACAAATACAACAAAAAACACCAGTATCTCTGTTTTCTTACTTCCTCTAAAGCAACAATCACCCTCAATGTTTACATCAAGTCAGGAACAGCCTCCAGGTATAACAAACAACAATAACACCAATATAGCAAGGCATTAACACCATCAGAAAGGAAGCTTGGGGAAAATTGTGAAATTTTTTTTGCTAAAACAAAAAGTGCCTACAGCACTTATTTCTCTCCTGTACGAAAAAGTCTGGGCAGAATGCAGACAGAATCTGTACAGACTTTATTTAGAAAACTCTGTACAGAGTCTGTACAGAAAAAAATCTGGTTAAATGAAACAAAGTTGAACCAGAATTCTATTAATAGATTTTAGCAATAAGGATAAAGAACAAAATCTGTACAGATTTTTTCTGAAATATTTAAATTAAGCCGAATATTTTCTGGGCAGAAAAAAATCTGGGCAGAAAAAAAAATTCTGGGCAGAAAAAAAATCTGGGCAGAAAAAAATCTGGGCTTCTTCATATTCTGTACAGAATTAACCCTGTCCATAGAAAATATCTGAAAGGGAATTCTGCACAGAAAAAATTCTGTACAGAAAATATTCTGTACAGATTTTCTTTTTTGGCTAAAAACAAAATCAATTTCCTTTTGAACATTTCTTATTTATTAATTTCAATTAACAATTTTTATTCATTTCTTTCCTGGAGTAGTCTATCCAATGAGTAATAGCCTTGTTGAGGGCGCTGTCATCAGGAATTGGCTTGTCTCTGTCTTTGCACCACACATCCTGACATAATCTAAAGAGTAAAAAAAAAGGAATTTGAATAATGTTCATTCTATTATTAAATGATATGCATAATTTGTGAAATATTTCAATGTGTATATAAAACAGTTACAATTGTATCCCTATTTTTTGTATAGCACTGATATAGCACCTTGAGTAACATCAAAGTCACTGACTAGCAAAACTGTTTACATAATATCATCCCTGACCAAAGCTTGTGTTACAAATCTAACACATGTAAATTGCAACATAACTTAAAATAGTAACACAATTGCCGGGAGTTTTGAATTGATTAATATAAGCTAAATGAATAGAATAGCCATAAAAGAGCAAGATATGAAATTTAAAAAAATAGATCTTGACCTATCAAAAAGCAATTTATGAACTTCAATTTCACTGTCCCAGCTTTGACCTCAGTGCATTTATACTCATTAGACAATAGTGGTCTGTCTCAAATCATAGTAAAATCAACTAATATAGATAATCCATAGACTATTAAAAGATGTATAAATAATTTCTATTATCTATAGTGGAAATTATACCAAAAAATTCAAAGAAAACATTGCAAAATCTTACCTCTGGTTTTATAATTCCATCATAATTCCTCTTTGGCCCCTTAAAATCTGAGAATTTCAAGCCTCTACATGATTTCTCTTCACAACAACTAACTTGTTAACTTATCATTAGAAAAATAAACTAAACAAAACATAATCTTTGCCAATATGAAGACACTTTGGGTAATAAAACTTCTCACGTGGCAGCCTGAGAGATTTGAATTGACCAACAGGGGTTACATGGGGGTTACACCTGATATTACAGAATATTCTACTACTCTGAGATTAACTCAAGAGTGAAATTCTGGCTAGAAAAGTAAATTCTGTCTCAAGATTTATCTAAGTGTTAAAATTCTGTGTGTTAATGTAAATTCTGCCTCAATTTTTTTTCTAAGTAGTGAAATTCTGTCTTTTATAAATAACTAAGAGCAAAATATCTGTATGAAAATTTTTCTGTACAGAAAAATTTTTGATTCTGTTTAATTCTGCACAGAAAATCACCTATTTCCTAGGCGGATTCTGTGTCCAATTCTGTGTCGGTGTCAACTCTGTACAGAAAAATGAAAATCTGCCTCTATAACAACCAGAGTTGGTACAGAGTCTGTACAGAATTGGCTCAGAATTTTCGTACAGGCTGTTATTAACCAATTTACAGCACTCAAAGGTCCACTTTTATGTGTCTTTTATTATAACAAATGACCACAGGTGACATTAAAATTAAGTCTAATTTGCCAAATAAGATATGATTTTCTTATTTCTAAAAGGTGATGAAATCTACCCAATTTTGCAAATGAAATGAAACAATGTGGTGAAATCAGTCCAATTTGCTGTTGAAATGAATTAAGAAATAGTTGTATCAGTTGTTGTAGCAAAGGACTTCAGTAAAACCTAATCTGAATTTGCTAATGGAATGAAAGGGGAAAAATATACCTGATTTGCAAATGAAATGAAGTTATGAAATATATCTTATGAAATATATCACAAATTTTGAATATGAAATTTAACAAATCAACCAAATTTCCTGAAATTGAAATGAAATGACACCTAATTGATTTATAAATGAAATGAAATTCAGACCAACAAATGTCATCGGAATGACCCTTGAATTTAATAAGACTTTCAATTAATATAATAATTGTGTCTGAACATCAAGCTTTAATGTTGTCATTTAACAAGGTAAAAAAACTGTAATATTTAACTTAGCCAGTACTTTTACGCCAAAAGGACTTCAGTACAAATTGGTCCAAAACCATTTTGTCCTGAATTCCTATTCAGTTTGTACAGAATTTATTTTACTTTAATTGTATTCTGACAGAAGCTAGAAGTTTATAGACACATAATTATGTTATATATCATCTCAAATATGTTCCTGGAACCAACGAGTACTGAGCAATGAGTGTTAAATTTCTTGCACAAGGAAACAATTGTTTGTTCCTGACTAGGGATTGAACCTATGCAGTTTGCGATCCTTAGGGATTACTAGTCCACAACGCATTAACCATGCCACATGCCGACATTTCCTATTTATAAACTACACGCATAATCATTAGTAAGAAGTTTCTTTTAATATTACAGGACAACACCAGTGACAATGCGTTTTTAATTAAATTGACTCTAAGAATTAATCTTAGTATTCTTACAAATTCAATTTATTAAGAATTTAAATTAGATTCAAAAGATGGAATCTAAAATAGTCACTAATTATTCCTGAAGATTTTAATTAAAATTCTTCTTATCTACATCGTGCACAGAGAAATATCAATTTAGACACGATAATTTGTTCCCCAAAATATTTTCAATACAAATGTTAACAAAAATAAAAAACTTTGTATCAAATAAAAAAATTCAAAAAAACTATTTTCTCATAATTATTTCACAATGTTCAATAAATATATTTCTTCATTTTGTGTAAGTGTCTTAAAGGGACATCGTTGAGGTTTTTGGAGATGATGGGACTGGAAATATTTTTTCCAAATTTGAGTACCATGGGCCAATAACTTGTATGCAAAATTTCAGATCATTTTTTCTGAATAATCATTTAAATTTTGCAAAATAACCCAAAACTTGAAGTGTTTAAATGCTTTTTACTCAAATGAAACAAGAATCACACATAAAAAACAATTTTTAATTTAAAGCGGAGTATATTTTTTCAGTATCTTTTGATTTTTTTTCTGTTTTCAGTGCCCATTTTATTAATGTAAATTTTAAATTTCATATTTTTTTGGACCTCAA